GAAAACAAATTTAAATTTCCCGCCTTAGGACGTGAGGAAAAGTCAAAAACTCATTGGGTTAAAAAACTTAACTTCATCCTTCTACATCAATTGAAAATGAATAGTGCAGTTGCTTCAAAATTACCAAAATTTTCACAGCTCCAAGCTGACGTTTGACATAGTTAACAAATTTGTTATCTTAAGCTAAACATACAAAAACGTTATGCTCTTTTAATACGCTACTAACGAACTTAAGTCATGGTAGGTAGCCTGACGGTAATTTTTTCTTAGAATGCTAGTCTGTAACTCAGAATTGTTATTCGCCTTATTTCAAGCTAGGTATACTTAAAAATGCATTGTTGATTTGGCAGGATTTGAACCCGGGACCTCAGGGACCAAAGTCCCGCGCTCTACCACTAAACAAGCTAGCTATCTCGTAGCCACTAATGGTTATCAAATTAAGTAGCTCTTACCTAGCACTTTTGGATTTCAAATTTGCATTTAACAAAATCAATCAAATGACCGATTGAGAGTAGACCTATTAGATAGAGCAAATAATTGTAGCAGTAGTTAAAATGTCTTACCTCCAAAATCTGAACACACGTTAGCAAGGTATGTGTCGCATCCAGCATATCCAAATACGTAATAGCTTTGTGTGCTCATTGGATCTGAAAGTACACGATTACTGATCACAAAATTAAATTCCATTGGTTATAGTTCTAATATAGTACCGTACTATCAACGTAATTCCAATTAAATATTGTATTTAATAAAGTTGTATTATAAACATAGCAAAACAATGAAGAGACATTATGAGCATACACTTGAAAACCTGATTGAGTCTAAACAGAAGTCACATTTGGCTTATTCTCCATAAGTGCATGGAGACAATTACCTAGCACTACTGTCATTGTATTTAATTATTACTCAATTAGTACAACTCTAACATGATAGAATACGATTCACTAATAATCTCTTCGGGACCTATGTTTAATTTACTTACTCGCAGCTGCGAACGCTCCTCTTCCAATGGAATTGATGATGAAGGATTGAATGGAATTAGAACCGTCGCAACTGGAATTCAGGAAAAAATAAAGGGTTATTTTGGCAATTCAAGATTAAATAGTGGTAAAATCTATTATTGATGGAAACACCCAAGAAGTTCACTCTGAGCGTGTAAACAATGCACTTCGCTGTGATAATTATCCGTTAAGACATTTTATACTTGAATATTCGAATACGTAAATAGAACATTGAAATCATTTAATAAATTATCAAAACCGATTGTTGTTTTTTTTAACTTGACCAAAATTATAAGATATCAGGTTGACCTTTTAGGGACGAAAAACCCAATAGGTTGGTAGCCGTGCTTACTTTATTTCACCGGTCATCTGATGTGAATTTTATCGTTATCTTTACGGTTTAGTATGACTGGGAATTTATTGTAAAACTCAACAAGGTGTTTTCACAAACTCAAAGTATCTAGAAGAATATTAAAAATTAATCATTCGTTTTACACAAATAAATGTGTGCATTTTAAGTTTTCAGGTTAGATTTTAGCATCTAACAAATCAACTACGAGTTCTATAAATTGTAACAATTCCTAATACTTATTTTCTATATTTCATATAAGTCCATTGTTAATTTTAAAAACCGGTTGCGAAAAAAAACCTGTAAAATATAATTTTCATAAAATACCTTATAACTCTAAACCATATGGACAACAATGCAAAAATACATATCAGCTGATCGGCAATGAGATAAAAGAAAGAAGGCTATACATTTTTTTTCTCTAAGGGCCCGCTTTCCCGAAATCAAGTTTAACTCTGTTCGCGGTTTAAACCTCAGATTAACTTTCCCAAAAATGATTTTTCGGTTTAAACTAGGTTTGAGTTAACCCTCCGGTTGAGGATGGTTTAACTGGCGATCTAAGGGTTAAACCAGGAGAGAAGAACAATAGCTGAATTTTGATTGTCTCTTGGCTGATTTGTTCGGCAATGGCAAAATATCCTTGTTTGCAGTTTGTTCAATATAACCTAAAATAAATTGAACTGGAAATAAATTCAGGAATAGAAAACCAGGAGCTTTGTAGATAATTCATGACTATTTTAAATAATTTAGGGATATAAGGCTTAAGGTTTTTAAACGTGTAGAGTTGGCCTAAATAATTATTTTTTTAGTAGGTAATATCGTAGTTGTATAAATCGATAGGCTACCTTGTCCGATTAAATTTACAAAGAATCATATTTTTAAATAGATTTTTACTTACTATACAGATGAGATATACAGCATTGCAACATTGGGGTCGTCTGGGAGTGGGAAGTAAGTGAGACACACATTATCTATTAACACATTCTCCTCTGTTTTCGGTAGGATGGTGTAAAACAAAGGCTGGTCACAAATGAGCTGAAACATTAAATTTAAGATTTTATAAACTAACCTTGTTAATATGATTTACTCATGAGACACATATGGGGTAAAAATTGGTTTTTCTAATTTTTGACCCTCTAAACACAAAATTTCCCAACTTCTCTCCAGACCTTTTTAAAGAGCTTAAAAAACAAATAATTTAGTGTATCAAAGTGTTTTTTTTACAATCATTGGTTACGGAGAAAATGCAAAATACCTCCACCACAGCAAACCTGCACTCTCAGGGAATTTCCATTTGCCTGATTGGATTTACACTAAAATGCCTCCTTAAAAATATCAAATGTATACATTTTTCTCATGGCTTACCTTATTAACAGTAAAATCTATTGTGGTTGGAGGAGAGCATTCTTGACCGAAACCATGTTGTAGAGTTAGCAAACCCACTAGGAGAGGCCCAACAATACTTACATGGTTAGACCTAGAAAAAGTGTATAAACCACACGTTAAAAAAATTACTTTTATATACACTTTTTACAATTTTAATCTGGAACGAGCAGTTTTTAAATCCTTTTCACTGTCTATTAAGCAATTAATAGTAGTATTAAAAAACTAAAAGATACAAACCCAATAAGTTCTAACCTACTACATAATACGTAACGTTAACTTACATGACTTCAGGGCTGAAAATTGAGGCTATCGACACGTAGCCATCTAACCGTGCTGTTGTTGACTCAAAGTTGATACACGTTTTCCTTATTAGGTTTACTGAGGTCAATATTTGATTTGCAGGAAAATAAAAATACTCACAGAGTTGTACTTTACATTGTAATGCAAGTGAACATGGATAAGCTGATGTCATAATAGCTTTTTATTACCGTACTAGCTGTGTACCCGTTCTACGCACGGGGATCTTATAGTAATCAGTTGAAACCTTCTTATTTAAAGAACAGCAGTTGTTTTGCATATTTTCAGATATGCTGGCCAAACTATTTATTATACATAACTTCATTTTATGTCGTTTGTTGTTGTTCCGGATCGGTATGACAATCACTAAAAGGCTAAATTACCTGTGTCCGCTTGTCGATCCTAATGTATCCTATTACAGGAGATGCATTTTGGCGAAATTAAATCGCCATCATCAGTCCTAAAGGTCTTGAGCTTCCCCATTAGGTGCGTCTTGGAGTTTTTGAAACACATACACGAACTGTACACTTATACACATGACGAATAAAACATAAATACACAGTAGGCCTACTTTTATTTTTACTATAGACAAGTAGACGCGCGTCGGTCGTGTGCCGAGTCTCGACTGAAAACGCTCATTTAAAAAATGTAAGTTTCCCAGCAATATACAACACTGATTCAAGGTCTATTTCCCGGTTATCAAAACTCAAGAACAATTTTATACACAAAGAATCTCTATTTTCATTTACTGTTACCCTACATATTATTGCACTTGCGATTAATTAAATCCGTTATGTAAGGAAAACGTATTTAATCTTAATTGGTTTGGATTTGCTTTCAAAACGTGATCGGAAATGGTTACGGTATTTGTAAACAACATTCAATGTAAACATATCAGTGACAGCTAGAAGAAATAATCTTGATTTGAACAGCTGTTCGTTATTTCTTAGAAGAATATGTGCTAAACATTGGGAGAAAACTTTACAAAAAATCGTACAAAATTGGGTTTTTAAACGTCCGTTATTTTATTTACAAAGTGGTGACGCCATATTTTAATGGCTAAAGACAATCTCGCCAATCCAGTGAATACATTAAAATGATTTGGAACTTGATAGGTACTCTCGTTTTTCAGGAGTAGGCCGCGTAAAATGGCTCTTGGGTCGTAACAGACTGGAAGACAGACAGAAATTTAGATGCGACTTGTTTCGGTTTCTCTAATGTATAAAAACGTAAAAATAACCTAAAAGTTTATGATTCTGAGCAATGTACAGACAAAACTCTAATTTTATTTATATAGATAGATTATTTGTGAGGAACAATGTTTTAAAATATTTAATCAATCGAAATGGAGGAGTTATATGCACCAAAATTATTGTATTAAACTTTTCACATACCATCATAATGTCTTAAACTTCAATTCATTTACTTTGGTTGTGTAGACATTTCCTTGTCCTACAATCTATGGAAAATTTGATGGTAAATTAGAAACGAAAGCAAGCAAAATATGTTTGTAGAGTCAACTTACTTGTACATGACTTTGCAGAGAGGAGGCACAATGTGATGTTACAATTCGTGCCACTTCCTTTATCATCACTTTATTGACTTGTGTATTTATCAGCAAACTAAATACCTTGTGTTGTGTGCTAAGTTCATTGTACAAGATGGTTTCACTAGAGAGGAACTATTAGGAATCTAGGCGGGAATTGAACCCGTTACTTTCACAACGAAGACCGAGAATTTCATTAAAACACGCAAAAACAGCCAATAACAGCCAATAGGAATTCGCAACATACTAGAAACAAACACAAAAAATTTGATATTTATAATATTAGAAAGATGTTTGATAAATTTTGAGATAAAACAACTAATAGGCTACATAAGCACAAGACTTACAAACATTAAAAAACAGTAACAACTATTTATTTGTTTACACACTATTTACAACAAGGTAAAAAATCTAACGGCCTAAATAAAGTCTATAAGTACTATGTTGTATTAATAGTCAAAGGTAATACAGTATTCCGTTTTCTCTGTGGCCATGGTCAATACAGTCCCACAGATGGTCCCAGGCTGCTGTAGAAGGGGTTGGGAGGGAGGATGCAGGCTTGCTGAGTGACACAGCGGTTTGGCAACTTCATGGGGAGGATGTACATGTCTTGCTCAGCCACCCCAGCATTGCTGATGATCTAGGGAACAAAGCATATCATGTATGGACGAGATTAAAGATTAGATATTTCTATGTCGACACAACAGGGTGTGTTAAGGCAACAGTATTTTAGTATGATCTCTGAAAACTAAAGCAAGAATATAGTTTTGGCAAAACAAACAGCAAAATTTGTGAGGATGATTCAGCTTGTACTTGAATAAAATAGCTACACTTGGTATATCAAGATGGCTTCTGTATCTAGTAGCAGATTGTATAATGACTATTAGATTATACTTCACGGACTGACAAACTTTGGTGAATGTGATAGCTTTGTTACTGACTAAGATCAGCTGGTCCTTAAGTCAGCTGGAACTGTTAAGGCTCGTACCTTAAATTTTCTACTCGTGTCGTTAACACTATTTACGCGAGTTGCGTACACTATTTTACCTACGACGGTGTTTTAATTACTAAAAATCACTACTCATAACTTCTAAGAGAGGTTATGTTTTTGTTTATAACCTCTAATTGCCACTAACATTGATGCAACGAAACATTGTATCAAATACTAATTGCACTAATCAACAATTAAATTGGCCTGAACAGCTGATTAGTTGAATTTCGAATCATTACAATTTTGCTTCTCCTCTCTCAATCCTTGAACCTCATTGGTCCGTTACCCGTGTTGTTATGAGTAAAACCATAGATAAAACATACTCCCTTAGTAGATTTCTCATCCTAATGAAACAGCTGAAGACAATTTTATTGTTAGTTCTGTACGGTTTATGTAGAGGTCGTGTTTTGTTTACAATTTGTTTCCCGTTAATACAGACATTTAAAACCTCGTTTAACCAAATAATACGATCTAATCATAAACAATAAATTGTCCCCTAGTTATTTAACCAAACAGTAAAGCACAAATCAAGAAATTAACCCTAAAATAATAGAAACAAAATTTCGTCGACACTAGCGCCCATGTGTCACGTACATGAACTAGACATGAAAAACGAGCTTCAAAATTTACAATGGGATAAGAAGTCTACTTGTGTTGGTTAGTCTATGGTAAAACTATGCTGTTATGAATGCAAACAATGCTGTTATGAGATACTTTTCAATTCTAAGAACTGTACTGAAACGGCTACTTAAAAAAACGGTCATAGGTAAAATTTATAAGGACATTAACCTAATTAAAATATAGGCATATGGCACACAAAAATGAAGCATGGAGATTGTAGATTTTCCGAAAATTATTGATGGGAAGGAATTCCCTTAGGGCCCAATTTCCTAAGAGCCCCGTCTTACACGCTTTCAAAGTTTACATTATTTAATTAACCAAATGATAAACAGCTGGTCAATGCAATTAACAGCTGTTTAATTATTTTCTCAGTATATTAGTATCTGTTTGAAATCTGGTTGGTTGGCAACCTGCATCACGTGACTTCAAAAATATTTCTAAAAATGTAAACTTTTCTCAAGATCAAACCGACATCCTTTTAGATTTTAATTTGTTGCTGATACACCAACAAAAGACCATTCAAACAGTTTTTTCGACTCACTTCTTCCACTTTACGTAGGCAGGAGAGCCCGATGGGCTTGCATGAGCTGGACGCCCCTACAACGTACGGAGGTGACGAGGCTGAAAAAAATGTAAAATTTATCATCCAATAATCACAACATTTTATCATTGCAAACCAGCCTGGTTGTAAGTGGGAATACAATAACATTAATTAGAGTAGTTAACAATAATCATATACAATGAGTCGTAAATTTGGAACACTGGACACTTCGAAACCACAATTGTAACGTTTAAACATAATATTATTTATATACTGTATGACAAATGAACACACTACCACAGTACAAATGTTAATTTATATCTAGAAGAAGCAAATACAATTTTCCGCCTAGGTGAAGTCAAACACTCCTTGGGTTAAAAAGTTAACGTCGTCCTTCTACTACAATTGCAAATGAAAATTGTTGCAGCAGTTGCTTCAAAATTACCAAAGTGTTCACAGCTCCAAACTTTTTAACCTTTTACATAGTTAACCAATCTAAAAGCGTTATGCTCTTTTAATCCACTATTTAAAACTGAAGTCATGGAAGGTAGCCTGACGATAATCCTTTCTTAGAATGCTTGTCTGTAACCCAGAATTGTTATTCACCTTATTTCAAGCTAGGTATACATAAAAATGCATTGTTGATTTGGCAGGATTTGAACCCGGGACCTCAGGGACCAAAGTCCCGCGCTCTACCACTACACAAGCTAGCTATCTCGTAGCCACTAATGGTAATCAAATTAAGTCGCACTTAACTAGCACTTTTGGATTTCAAATTTCCATTTAACAAAATCAATCAACTAAATGACCGATTGAGAGTAGGCCTATTAAATAAAATAATCATAGCAGTAGTTAAAATTTCTTACCTCCAAAATCTGAACACACATAAGCAAGGTATGTGTCGCATCCAGCATATCCAAATACGTAATAGCTGAGTGTGCTCATTGGATCTGAAAGTATACGATCACAAAGTTAAATTCCATTGGTTATAGTTCTAATATAGTACCGTACTATCAATGTAGTTCCAATTAAATATTGTATTTAATAAAGTTGTATTTTAAACATAGCAAAACAATGAAGAGACATTATGAGCATACACTTGAAAACCTGATTGTGTCTAAACAAAAGTCACATTTGGCTTATTCTCCATAAGTGCATGGAGACAATTAACTAGCACTACTGTCGTTGTATTTAATTATTACTCAATTAGTACAATTCTAACATGATAAAATACGATTCACTAATAATCTCTTCGGGACCTATGTTTAATTTACTTACTCGCAGCTGCGAACGCTCCTCTTCCAATGGAATTGATGATGAAGGACTGAATGGAATTAGAACCGTCGCAACTGGAATTCAGAGAAAAAATAAAGGGTTATTTGGCAATAAAAGATTAGATAGTGGTCAAATCTATTATTGATGGAAACACCCAAGAAGCTCACTCTATCATCAAAACCGATTGTTGTTTTTTTTTTTACTCGACCCAAATTATAAGATATCAGGTTAAACTTTTAGGGACGAAACAAACTCATAGGTTGGTAGCCGTGCTTACTTTATTTCACCGGTCATCTTATATGAATTTTATTGTTGTTATATTCTCGGTTTAGTATGATTGGAAATTTATTGTAAATAAGACTCAACAAGGAGTTTTCACAAACTCAAAGTATCTAGAAGAATATTAAAAATTAATCATTCGTTTTACACAAATAAATGTGTGCATTTTAAGTTTTCAGGTTAGATTTTAGCATCTAACAAATCAACTACGAGTTCTATAAATTGTAACAATTCATAATACTTATTTTCTATATTTCATATAAGTCCATTGTTAATTTTAAAAGCCGGTTGCGTAAAAAAAACCTGTAAAATATAATTTCCATAAAATACCTTATAACTCTAAACCATATGGACAACAATGCAAAAATATATATCAGCTGATCGGCAATGAAATAAAGAAAGAAGGCTATCAACTTTTTTTTCTCTAAGGGCCCGCTTTCCCCAAATCAAGTTTAACTTTCAGATTCACTTTCCCCAAAATAATTTTTCGGTTTCAACTAGGTTTGAGTTAAACTTCCAGTTGAGGATGGTTTAACTGGCTATCTAAGGGTTAAACCAGGAGAGAAGAACAATAGCTGAATTTTGGTTGTCTCTTGGCTGATTTGTTCGGCAATGGCAAAATATCCTTGTTTGCAGTTTGTTCAATATAACCTAAAATAAATTGAACTGGAAATAGATTCAGGAACAGCAAACCAGAAGCTTTGTAGATAATTCATGACTATTTTAAATTTAGGGATATAAGGCTTAAGGTTTTTAAATGTGTAGAGATGGCCTAAATAATTATTGTTTAGTAGGTAGTGTCGTAGCTGTGTGAATCGATAGGCTACCTTGTCCGATTAAATTTACAAAGAATTGTATTTTTAAATAGATTTTTACTTACTATACAGATGATATATACAGCATTGCAACATTGGGGTCGTCTGGGAGTGGGAAGTAAGTAAGACACACATTATCTATTAACACATTCTCCTCTGTTTTCGGTAGGATGGTGTAAAACAAAGGCTGGTCACAAATGAGCTGAAACATTAAATTTAAGATTTTATAAATGAAGCTTGTTAAAATTATTTACTCATGAGACAAAGTAAAAATTGGTTTTTCTAATTTTTGCCCCTCTAAACAAAAAAAATTCCCAATTTCTCTTTAGACCTTTTTAAAGAGCTTAAAAAAACAAATAATTTAGTGTACCAAAGTGTTTGTGTACAATTATTGGTTACGGAGAAAATTCCAAAAATTTTTATTTTAAAATTCCCATGTCATTCTTAGGGAGAATATTGTAAAATGTTGTAGTTTGCTGGTTTATGGATATATTTTGATCAAACTTGGTAAATTTATTTACTTTATACTAAGTTATTGATACTTTAAAAAACACACTTTTTAATCCTCCCTATAGATTGTAGAAGCAAGCCTAGGTACTCATAAAACCTAATGTTTATTAAATACATTTAGTTGAAAATCAATTCAGGCAAATGGAAATTCGATTAGTCGGCAGGCTTGCTGCGGCGGGGGTATTTTAACTTTGATGTATTTTACTGTTAACTGGTATTTTTGTAAAAAAATACACTTTGTTATTTATCAGAAGTCTTCTGAGCCAATAACCTTTTTTCTACTCTCTATATCTCGATACTCTCTAACTTTGTTAGTTGTTACACTATAGCCCAATGACAGTTTAGTTTACAATACAACTCATGGCTTACCTTATTAACAGTAAAATCTATTGTGGTTGGAGGAGTGCACTCTTGGCCGAAACCATGTTGTAGAGTTAGCAAAACCAGTAGGAGAGGCCCAACAATACTTACATGGTTAGACCTAGAAAAAGTGTAAACCACACATTAAAAAAATTACTTTTATATAGGCCTACACTTTTTAAAATTTTAATCTGGAACGAGCAGTTTTTAAATCCTATTCACTGTCTACTAAGCAATTAATAGTTGTATTAAAAAACTAAAAGATACAAATCCAATAAATTATAACGTACTACATAATACGTAACGTTAACTTACATGACTTGAGGGCTGAAAACTGAGGTTATCGACACGTAGCCATCTAACCGTGCTATTGTTGACTTAAAGATGATAAACTTTTTCCTTATTAGGTTTATTGAGGTCAATATTTGATTTGCATGAAAATAAAAAGACACATCGTTGTACTTTACATTGTAATGCAAGTAAACATGGATAAGCTGTTGTCATAATGTATTTAAATGAAAGATAAATACATTGTGGTTTGCAAATCAAGTGGTATTAAGCTATCACATAGTTGAACGTCATGACAACAATATAAAAATCGATGTATTCCAAAAATTATTGTTTTTAGCCTACGTTAAGATTTATAAAGGTTTCACATGTCCGTTTGATGAATTTTTTTCCACGAATTGGGAAAAATAAAATTGAGTATAAATTTCTCTTTGTAGCAAATGTATAGACAAGGTTAAAATACTGTTACAGCCTATGTTAATAATATTTATATTTAAATTCGAAACAAAGACCTCTCTTAATCATGACTGCCAATTATGTTTTCAACTCTCAAACAAGAACAAGAGGTGAAAGACTTTTTACTACCGTATTATTTGTGAGGAACAATGTTTGAAAATATTTAATACATCGAAATGGAGGAGTTATATGCACCAAAAGTATCGTATTAAACTTTTCACATACCATCATAATGGCTTAAGCTTCGATTAATTTACTTTGGTTGTGTACTTACTTACTTTTACTTTACTTTTCAATCAAATGGCGACCAAACAAAGTAGGTATTTTTTAGCCAAGTATGAATGGAGATGAGTGTAGAATGAGTGGCGCGATCTTGGACATTTCCTTGTCCTACAATATATTAAAATTTGATGGTAAATCAGAAACGAAAGCAAGCAAAATATATTTGCAGTGGCAACTTACTTGTACATGACTTGCTGAGAGGAAGCACAATGTGATGTTACAATTCGTGCCACTTCCTTTATCATCACTTTATTGACTTGTGTATTTATCAGAAAACTAAATTCCTTGTGTTGTGTGATAAGTTCATTGTACAAGATGGTTTCATCAGAGCAAAACTATAAGGAATCTAAGCGGGAATTGAACCCGTTACTTTCACAACGAAGACCGAGAATTGCATTAAAACACGCAAAAACAGCCAATAAACAGCCAATAGGAAATCGCAACATATTAGAAACAAACACACAAACTTTCACATTTATAATATTAGAAAGATGTTTGATAAATCTATATAAATAAAATTAGAGTTTTGTCTGTACATTGCTTAGAATAATGAACTTTTTGGTTATTTTTACATTTCATAGGTCAGAGAAACCGAATCAAACCTTATCTCAATTTCTGTCTGTCTGTCTGTCTGTCTGTCTGTCTGTCTATCTGTCATTCTCTTGGTAACGCTAAAATACGCACTTTATTACAACTACTCCTCAATAACTATAGCACTGTCCCGCCTGAAACTTATTTTCCAAATACTATACATATATGAGATGGTTTTAGACGTATTTCATCGAATATGAGACAGTTAGATATTTAACAGTAAACCCTTGAAAATCAAGTTTTTGTCGATTTTTGACGTGGAATTTCTGGAAGCCCATGTTAACCTTATGAGAAATGAAATTATTGAATCTTAACAGCTGTTTCAATTAAACAAGTTGGTTCTGTTCTGTGATGTTCAATAGCATTAAAGTTACAAGGATTACCAACAGGGTGCAGCACTAGCACTATTATTTCTTTTACATTTATGACAACAGCTAATTTGCAACCTGGAGGCGAGTGAGCGTAGCGAACGAGCTAACCTGAAGGCAAGTGAGCGTAGCGAACGAGCTTACCTGAAGGAAAGTGAGCGCAGCGAACGAGCTCCAACATAAAGGTGAGTGAGCGTAGCGAACGAACTTCAACCAGGACGTGATTGAGCCATGCAAACGAGATCAGATAGTAAAAATAAAAGTAAGCCTACCGTTATAGGATCGACCGGCAGACACAGAGGTAATTTAACCTTTTATTGATTGTCATACCGATCCGGAACAACAAAAAACAACATAAAATGAAGCTATGTATAATAGTTTGGCCAGCATATCTTAAAATATGCAAACCAACTGCTGTTCGTTATATAAGAAGGTTTCAACTGAATATTATAAGATCCCCGTGCGTAGAACGGGTACACAGCTAGTTTAGAGATAAAACAACTAATAGGCTACATAAGCACAAGACTTACAAACATTAAAAAACAGTAACAACTATTTATTTGTTTACACACTATTTACAACAAGGTAAAATATCTAACGGACTAATAAAGTCTTTAAGCACTATGTTGTATTAATAGTCAAAGGTACTACAGTATTCCGTTTTCCCTGTGGCCATGGTCAATATAGTCCCACAGAAGGTCCCAGGCTGTTGTAGAAGGGGTTGGGAGGGAGGATGCAGGCTTGCTGAGTTACACAGCGGTTTGGCAACTTCATGGGGAGGATGTACATGTCTTGCTCAGGCACCCCAGCATTGCTGATGATCTAGGGAACAAAGCATATCATGTATGGACTGGATTAAAGATTAGGTATTTCTATGTCGACCCAGCAAGGTGTGTTAAGGCAACAGTATTTTAGTGTGATCTCTATAAACTAAAGCAAGAATATAGTTTTGGCAAAACAAACAGCAAAATTTTGTGAGGATGATTCAGCTTGTAATTGAATAAAATAGCTACACTTGGTCTATCAAGATGTCTCCTGTATCTGGTAGCAGATTGTATAATGACTATTAGATTACAGTTCAAGGACTGACAAACTTTGGCAAAATTGAATGATATGATAGCTTTGTTACAAGATCAGCTGGTTCCTTAAGTCAGCTGGGACTGTTAAATTTATAAGGTCATTGACCTAATTAAAATATAGGCATATGACACACAAAAATGAAGCATAGAGTTTGTAGATTTGACGACAATTATTTATATGAAGGAATTCCCTTAGTGCCCGATTTCCTAAGGGTCTTACATGCTTTTAAAGTTTACATTGTTTAATTAACCAAATGATAAACAGCTGGTCAATGCAATTAACAGCTGTTTAATTATTTCCCAGTACATTAGTATCTGTTTGAAATGTGGTTGGTTGGGGGTTTATTCACACTATAGTTCGGCCGCTTAGAAAACGACCTGCGCGCTAATGCTAAACCAATGCTGGAGGAGGTCGCTTACTAAGCGGCCGAACTATAGCAACTGCATCACGTGACTTCAAAATCCATGATATATTTGATATGTAGTTGATAAGGATGAAAAAGATTATGTCTCATCATATCCCAATTATTTTCATTGTGTGCGCGATCACTTCGAGGCGTCATAGAAAAGTTACATTTCCGTATGGATGTGAACAAAATTGTATCATGGTCATTTGTTTTGATGTAAAAAAAAAATGTAAACTTGAAAAAGTTCAGATAATTGACAACAGAATTCGGCACAAACTATGAAATTTGTTAAGACTATAGGACGAAGGGCTTTCACGAGATGTCATCCAAACCAGCAAAAGACACATCTAGAGCTTTAAATTGATACCCAAAATGCCTATAAAAATAAATATTTGAGGGTAGACTTGCTGCACACACAAAATCAACAAATTATTTTAATAATATAGATTGTGTGAAAATTTGTGTATTATTTTAAAGGGTTATGTTTCATTAAAGAAAGTTAGGATAAGATTTGTAGATATTTTTTAGTTTTCTGCGAAATTTATACAGATATATACAGATGAAGAGGCTTCACTAACATTGAAGAAAATCCTTTTCTAAAATGACATCAATATTACGTAGCCTAATGTATATTGGTACACTAGAGTGCGTGACTTTGCGAATAAGTAGGGAAATGCGTTTGGTAAGGATTTTCTTTTTCAATTTAAATCATACAGTATTTTTTAAACGCTGATTATTTAAAAAACGCATTATTCTCTTCCGCGTTCTCTAATTGCGAAGCACGGGCCACTCGTAACAAGCTCAATAACCAATTCCAGCTAAGCTTCAAAAATATTTCTAAAAAATTATGAACTTTTCTGAATATCAAGCTGACATCCTTTTAGATTTTTATTTCTTGCTGATACACCAACAAAAGACCATTCAAAAAGTATTTTGTCGACTCACTTCTTCCACTTTGCGTAGGCAGGAGAGCCCGATGGGCCTGCATGAGCTGGACGCCCCTACAACGTATGGAGGTGAGGAGGCTGGAAAAAATGTAAAATGTATCATCTATTAACAACAACATTTTATCATTGCAACCCAGCCTGGTTGTAAGTGGCAATACAATAATATTAGCGTAGTTAACAATGATAAAATACAATGAGTCGTAAATTTTGGAACACTGGAAACTCCGAAACCACAATTGTAACGTTTAAATATAATAGTATTTATATACTGTATGACAAATGAACACACTACCACGGTACAAATGTTAATATATATCTAGAAGAAGCAAATAAAATTGTCCACCTAGGTGAAGTCAAACACTCCTTGGGTTAAAAAGTTAACGTCGTCCTTCTATGCCAATTGCAAATGAAAAGTGCAGTTGCTTCAAACGAAAGTTTGAAGTTTGGATCTGTTTTCACAGCTCCAAACTTTTGACCTTTTGCAGTTAGCTATTTTTTCTTAACCTAAGAAACACAAGAAAAACATTATACCCTTCATTCTACTAGTAACATGGTATTTAAAGCAAACGGCATGGTAAAATGGCCGTTTAAAACATGGTATTTAAAACAGCATGGTATTTAAAGCAGTGCTATTGAACTTTTACGTTTATTTAGGTAGCCTCATGGTAATTCTTTGTCCTACGCTAAGTTATAATCCGGTATTATTATTCGTACTGACGCACACATTAGGCTAGATCTAGAAGTTGCGGTATCACTTGAATAAAATCCATTGGTGATTTTGCAGGATTTGAACCCGGGACCTTAGTCACTCGCTCTACCTCTAGACCAGCTAGCTTCCCCGAGTAATGACAATCAAAGTAATATTTCACTAACACTTTCCATTTGACAACATCACTTACCTCCATAATCAGAACACACATATCCGAGGAATGTGTCACATCCAGCATATCCAAACACGTAATAGCTCATTGTGCTCATTGGATCTGGAAGTATACGTTCACTGATCACATAATTATGTTCCATTGGTTATAGTTATAATATAGTGATAATGCGGATACTGAAATGTTTTTAATCAGACCATATAATAAAGATAGCAAAAAAAAATGAGGACACATTATAAGCTAAATAACTTCTTGATCAGCATTGTACGTGTTATTAAATTTCAAATAGTAAATAAAGATACGTCTTATAACACTTAAAACATATATTTACGCTTATACTGTTACTCACAAGACGGTAAATATACAAAAGATGGTAAGACCCAACATTCGCCTATTGGGTCTGATGATGATTGGAGTGTCCAATCGAAATCGTTCACCACTTACCATCTTTTGTATATTTACCGTCTTGTGAGTAACAGTATAAGCGTAAATATATGTTTGAAGTGTTATAAGACGTATCTTTATTTACTTTCCGTACATTATAAGCCTAAAACGACTTGATACCACTTTGAAACAAAACCTGATTATGTCTAAACAAATTAAGTCACATTTGGCTTATTTTCCACGCTAAAATTAGTGCATGAAGACAATGAAATAGCACTACTGTCAATTTATTTAATTATGATAAAAATAGTACAATTCAAACAGTATGATAAAATACGATTCCCTAACTCATACTTACTCGCAGAACGGAATGATCCTCTTCCAATTGAACTGATGATGGTGGATTGAATGGAATTCGAACCGTCGCAACTGGAATTCACCCACAAATATTATTTAATAATAAGTGTGAAGCTAAAATAAATTTGTTCTGATTTTTACCAGTGGTTTGAGGGTCATTTGGAAATACAAGAATAGATGGTGGTAAAAATCCACCATTGACGGAAATGTCCAATAAATTCACTTTGGTAGATAGGACAAACCTAAACAATAGCTTGGAATATTTGAACGTTAGTTATATGTAATTTTAGATTGTCATGTATGTAATTCCCATTATTCAAATACTGGGATTTACTCGTTGGTAAATCTTACAAGTTTTTAATACTATTCCATATCATAGAACCAACCTGTTTAGTTGAAACAGCTGATTAAATTCCTTTTAAATATGAATACTCTTAAGGTTAACATGATGAACTACAGACTGGGGCTGAGCCCGAAAGGATTTTTGAGATAAGAATATGCCTATATGTTAATAGGGAATGTGAGCTATCATCATGTCAAATTTCAGCCTAATCCGTTCAGTATTTAACGCGTGATTGAACTTCAAACAAACAAACACACACACTTTCACATTTATAATATTAGTATGACAACGTGGTGTTTTCGCTAACTCAAAGAGTATATTATATTCTAGAAGAACACCAAAAATTAATCATTTGTTTTACACCAATAAATGTGTGCAATTAAGTTTTCAGGTTGATAAAATAGCTAATAAAATACACTACAGGTTCTATAAATTGTTCAAATACATAATACTTATTTCCCATATTCCACATAAGTGCATTGTCAATTTTACAAGCTGGTTGCGTTTGGAAAAAAACCTATAAAATCTAATTTCCATAAAACACCTTATAACTCTGAGCCATGTGGACAACAATGCAATAATACATATCAGCTGATCGGCAATGAAGTAAAAGAAAGAATGCGGCCATCTTCTTTTCTCTCGTGTCTTCCCGTATTTTGTTATTTTGGTTTGCAAAAAAACACTGTATAATAATTCGTTTTTCGCTTCATGTTTTAGACGATTAGAAAAAAAATCAATTTGAATTAAAACTGTACAAAGAATATTCATAAATTAATAGTCTTATTATTCTACTTACTATACGGATGATATATACAGCATTGCAGTATTGGGGTCGTCTGGGAGTGGGAAGTAAGTCAGACACACATTATCTAGTAAAACACTCTCTTCTGTCTTCGGTAAGATTGTGTAAAAGACCGGCTGGTCACATATGAGCTGAAAAATTTAGTTTAAGATTTTATACATGAAGCTTTTTAAAAATATTTACTCGTCAGACACATAGAAATATCATAAAAATGCAAATATTAATTTTACATAAGTTTCCACAGACATTTCGGTGTTTGTCCAATTCTGTACACGAAAATCGGCAAACAAAAGAAATTTATTGTGAGTAACAGAATGTTTTTGATACATTTAAATAGACTACGCGGGCAACAGCGCTAGTAACAGTTAATTGATAAGGATTGGATGGTCTATGTTCCTTGATTTTGTATGATTTTTATATTTTTTATATTAATGTATTTTAATTTAATTTATATATTTGTAAAAAAATACAATTTGTTAGTTTTCAGATTCTGAGCCAATGACATGCTTTATTTTAAATCTTGTCACTCTAAGGTTGTCCTTTGTTACATTATCTGTAGCCAAATGATAATTTAGTTTACAATACAATAAACCATTTCTCATGGCTTACCTTATTAAGAGTACCATCTATTGTGGTTGGAGGAGAGCACTCTTGACCGAAACCATGTTGTAGAGTTAGCAAAACCAGTAGGAGAGGCCCAACAATGCTTACATGGTTAGACCTAGAAAAAGTGTATACACCACACATTAAATAATTTACTTTTATATACACTTTTTAAAATTTTAATCTGTAGCAAGCAGTTTTACAAGTCATCCACTGTATCTTGAACAATTAAATTAATAGCATTTTTAAAATAACCCCGCCGCAACAAACCTGCAGACTAAGCGAATTTCCATTTGCCTGATAGGATTTACTCTAAAATGTCTCCTTAAAAATATCACATTCATTCCTTATTAATATAATTACTTTAACGAGTACTTAGGTTTGCTGCAACAGGGATGGTAAATTTTTTTTTTTATGTTATAGTTTAGTAAGAAATAAATGAATTGTTCATATTTGATCAAAATATGTTCATAAGCTAACTACAACAGTTTACTTATCCTTCATAACAATAATATAGGGATTTTAAATTTACAATTTTTTGGAATTTTTTCCGTAACCATTAGGTGCACAATAACGCTTCAATATACGAAATTATTTTTTTTAAAGCTCTTTAAAAAGGTCTAGAGAGAAATTGGGAAATTTTGTGTTTTGAGGGTCAAATATGAGAAAAAACAATTTTTTACCCCATAATCCACCCCGTAAAACCCCGGTCCCATGGTTCATGCTGGTTTTCGAACTCATTCAAGTTTATCTCGCCTTACACATTTAAACCAAATTTCATCAAAATTGGACAAAAATTACTCAAGTTATCGCGTTCACGGTCGTATATATATATATATATATAATTAAAAAATCTGAAGGAACGGTGTTTTTGGCCTCTGGGGACATCAAAATGAAAAACTAAATCTATTCCGGGCCTAGGTCTTACCTACGGTAATAGCTACTTACTTTTTGAAATTCACTAAAAACTAAAAAATAAAAATCCAATACATTTTATAACGAACTACATAATATCACAATACTACGTAACGTTAACTTAGATGACTTCTGGGCTGAAAATAGGTTATGGACACGTAGCCATACAACCGTACTATTGTTGACTTAAAAACTGATACACGTTTTCCTTATTAGGTTTATTGAGGTCAATATTTGATTTGCATGAAAATAAAAAGACTCACATCGTTGTAATGTACATTTTAATGCAAGTAAACATGGATAAGCTGTTGTCATAATGTATTTAAATGAAAGATAAATACATTGTGGTTTGCAAATCAAGCTGTATTAAGCTATCACATAGTTGCACTTCATGACAACAATATAAAAATCGATGTATTCCAAAAATTATTGTTTTTAGCCTACATTAAGATTTATAAAGGTTTCACATGTCCGTTTGATGAATTGTTTTCCATGATTTTGAATTAAAAATCCAATTGAGGATGAATTTTACTTGGTCACGTATGTATATCCTAGATTCACTTATACTGTTTTAAACTATATGAATAATTCATAGGTACTAAAATTTGACACAAAGACCTCTCTCAATCATGACTGCCAATTATGTTTTCAACTCTTAAACAAAGACAAGAGGCAGAAGGCTTTTGATTACCGTATTACTTTTTAGGAACAATGTTATAAAATATTTAATACAGCTAAATAGATGAGTAATATGCACCAAAATTATTGTATTAAACTTTTCACATACCATCATAATGTCTTAAACTTCTATTCATTTACTTTGGTTGTGTGGACATTTCCTTGTCCTACAATTTATGGGAAATTTGATGGTAAATTATAAACGAAAGCAAGCAAAATATGTTTGTAGAGTCAACTTACTTGTACATGACTTTGCAGAGAGGAAGCACAATGTGATGTTACAATTCGTGCCATTTCCTTTATCATACTCTTTATTGACTTGTGTATTTATCAGCAAACTAAATACCTTTTGTTGTGTGCTAAGTTCATTGTACAAGATGGTTTCTCTAGAGCGTATTTATAAGGAATCTAAGCGGGAATCGAACCCGTTCCTTTCACAATGAAGGTTAAGAATTGCGTCAAAACTCGCAAAAAGAGCCAATAGGAATACGCAACACACTAGAAACAGCTGGGGCCTGTTTCATAAAAAAATACTAATAGAGTAAATCAGCTGATCGCCTAATGCAATTCTAATGGAAATTACAAGTTACAATTTGTAATTTAACAACTTTAGTTTATTATGAAACAGGATTGTATTTTGAGCTGAATTAAACAACGGTTTGCTCATTCTAGCTGAAATGTCAAATCAGCTGGGTGTCAAAAATAGTATTTACCTACGACCGTTTTTTTAAAGTAGCCGTTTCAGTCCAGTTCTTAGAATTGAAAAGTTTCACTTTACAGCTGTTTACTTTCATATCCGCATAGTTTCATTTCATATCCGCATAGTTTTCTCATATCCACACAGGTAACGGACCAATGAGGTTCAAGTATTGAGAGAAAAGAATTAAAATTGTAATGCTTCAAACGTCAACTAATCAGCTGATCAGCTGATCAGTTGACCAATTTAATTGTTGATCCGACTTGTTCATGTTGATACTCGCGTATTCTTAATTAAGTTGGTGGAAGTCCAAAAATAAATGAAATATTTGCCGAATTGTACCTGATACAATATTATTTATGGTAAGAATGCTGCTAGCAATGTAATATTTAACGAAGTTTAACAAACACGTAATTACAGGAAATCAGCTGATTATACAACAAGTCGTTGCATCACTTTCAGTGGCAATGACAATACACGAAAACATAACCTCTCTAAAAAGTTATCATTAGTGATTGTTAGTAATTAAATCCAGATTGATAGTAATTAAAAAACGGTCGTAGGTAAAGTAGTGTACGCAACTCGCGTTAATAGTCTTTACGACACTCGTAGAAGTTTTTAAGGCACTCGCCAAGGCTCGTGCCTTAAATTTTCTACTCGTGTCGTAAAGACTCACTTAACGCAATCGTTGCGTAAACTACTATTTTAAACGTTTTGTATTATTACATCCCGACAACCATTGTTAAACACATTGTCGTAAAATTTTTTAGCACTCTTAATTAACTCAATAAACTTCCTATGTTTTATATCGGCATGTTAGATAATTGAAACTAGGCTACGTTCCTTATCAATTGAATGCAGTTCTATTTATAAACTTAGCACTGCATCGTCAGGTGCAATTATTGAGATGTAAATAAACGGTATCAAACTGACTGTTGGTGTGAGTAACTATGATATTTTACGGGTAAAACTAAAAATAAAATTTCATAAATTCCGAACCGTAATCATTACAGCATTGGAGGTTACAACATTTTGTTTATGGTTAAAAGGACCATTACTTTATGGGGTTTTATAGGAAAATCACAGTTGAAAATACAAATTTCAAAACATGAAAAAAGTTATTGACTACATACCAAATTCAAAATTGGACCACAGGTGTAGCCTGTAGCTCTGCATACATCCACACATAAATTCACACACTCACAGACAGACGTCACTACGAAAACCACTTTTTTGGGTCCAGGGGGACCAAAAACGGATATTTTCATCCAAAACTCAAACTCGAAGATTTTTACGAAAACAATACTTTCTCCATATACTATGTATATAGGGAGTAAGTCAAAATAAAATCTTTCCTATTTCCTCAACTAAGGATTGATTAAATAAAGAGAAATTTCCTGTATAACGTTACCAATGGACAAATTGTCTATCAACCTGGATATAAATAATAAATAACGGAACTTTTTGAACATACATTTGGTCGTACTCCCAAGTGTGATGAATTTAAAATATTTCAGCAGAATTTGAGTAGAGATAAACTAAGAGGAATTTAGGGAATGCAATTAAGGATGTTTTGGTAATTGTTTTACAGTACGAGTGGTCTAAAGTAACAATATGGGCTTGAAATGAGGTACATGTTTTACAAATCATTTATTAATAACAAAAAAGGGTTGGACACTTTATCATTCAAACAGACGTTTAAACATGCAATTTTGCTTTAAACCCTCTTTGCATGTCATCCTTATTATGTCAAAAATGACAGCAAGTTGATTTACGGATTGAGCTAAAACTATTAATGGAAATAAACTAGATTTTAATTTTAAATCACAAAAAACAACAATGATCTTCAGACACAATTTTACAAGTAGATAGATAGTTAATTTCATGGCATGTCAATAACTATAAGTTTGGTTCTGTTATATAATAACAATACAAACAAAAATCACAAATCTACAAAAAAATCTCACAAATTTAACGTAAGTAAGAAGATTTATTAAATTAGTTATATAATTATTATGTTTTCAAATTACTCACCAGGTTGATTCATTTGTTTTTCGTTATGTGCTTAAATCACCGGAAAGTTTCAAGAAATTTACAGTTCCCGTCTTAATTCCTCTAAAAATTCCCCCATTAGACAATTGATGTTGAGCTGGTACTAGACACATTTACTAAACAATATTATCATAAATTTAATACGAATACATTTTCAGCCTTGTTTTTTAACCGTATATTAAAAATAAAGGTTAAATACAGGGTATTACTAGACAAAATTAACCCATTTTTCATTATTCCCGGAAAAATATAAATTCAATATGGAGTTCAGCCTTATTTTCGTTCATAAATAGGGGTTTCCTAATAAAATACCCCTGTTCAAAATGTAATCAACTTCCTATAGCCCTTTTACAAAATGTGGTTTAAGGGGAAGGTTTCCTTTGTTCCCCCACTACTTATTGTTAGCTTATGTATAAATCAGCTGATCAGCTGTCAGCTGTTATTTCAAAGTGAGGTGAGAGGGAATGGCATCACGTCCCCTCAAACAGCCAAAATTATGTGAACAGAGTGTAATACCAAAGTTGATGGTTTACACTTTGAAACCTCCACACTTTACACAAGTACTGATTAATACCCGACATAAAATATTAAAGATTAATATTTCGTAAACACAAATTGAAATTCGAGATCGGACCCAAACTTAAATATTAGAATGGTAATGTTGATAGCATAAAATAGACCAATAGATTATTCAAATCAAATTTTCTATTTGCAGAACATTAAATGAACGCTGTATAACATCGTACTATTCTCCTAGCGATTGTCAATACACCAGTCCCACTGAAGGTCCCAACTTGTTGTAGAAGGGGTTGGGAGGAATGATACAGGCTGCTTGGTTTACACATCTATTGGGCAGCTTCATAGGAAGAACATACATATCCTCCAGGGGTAGTCCTGCATTCTCGATTATCTGGGGAAAACATGTAAACATAAGTTGTTGCAAAATAAATGCAAGGATGGAAAAGGATGATTTGCTCAAATTGCAAACACGTTACATAAACATAATGTCACATTAGAGTAGCTTTAAGCCCGGACGATTGATGTGGTTTCAAATTCATTGTTTTATTTCCTCAAATTGTGATGGCTTTTAGTTGCAAACGATTACTACTACACTTTTAGGTTACATTACGAATCAAATGCTACATTCTTGACATTTTTTAACATATGAGAACTCTGCGATCAGTAAAATAATTCAAACTATCACAGGAGCAAATTGGAATACAATTTCACCACACCGAATCAACAAGGTGGGAAGGTGAGCGAAGGACGAGATTACAGCCAAGTAGGTTATATAAACATTTTTCAGTATAAAATAACACTCTTTCATTTAAAAAACGTTTCGCTGCATCACGTAAGCACTAGGGATACTCATTAGTTTATAGATAATTTTAGACCTAAAAACTAATTTAAAAATGTTTTAGGGTATTTTAAATTTACTTCGACCCTGCACAGTAAAATTGTAAATTTTATGTAGTGTGTAATGATTGACGTTTTCTTACCTCTTCGATTTTCCGTAGACACGACAGTCCAATTCCACGACAATTTTTGGTGACTCCAAATGTGTGCGGTTTTTCGTACTCTGAAAACAAGAAAATGATTAATAAAATGTTAACACTCTTATCGATAGAATATGGAGGGTAAATCACAGATTCATTCTTTACGGCGAGATAAAAGCGGCAACGCCGCAGCTTCGGCTACAGCTGTAGCATGGAGAGTCTGCGCAAAGGCCGCCGGTGCGACGTTGCCAAACCTCAATGCCGAAACCTTAAATTGGAAGCTAATACTTGTACATATTGTAAAAGGTTAAACTTACCTCCAAAGTCAGAGCACCTGTAGCCAATGAATGTGTCACATCCTGCATATCCAACGAAATAATCCAGATACGTCACTCTGGGGTCTGGAATATAAATCAAATATATCAGCGAAAGAAAAATAACTTAAGTTACCCCTAAAATTTTACTATTAAACATATCCACGTTTGCACAGACAAGTTTAAATGTAAAAATTGAACCAAAACGGGATTTTCTCTGTAAATGAAAACTTTTACTTTTAGTTTTTAATAAACCTAAACATTTGGTTTTATTCTTTTTGTTTTACTTACTATATGAAAAAGTAAATAAAACAGTTATCTTGTTACTATTATAAAAGTTTGTTCATTTTTATCTTCTGACATATTATCTCAATTTTAATATTTACTATAATCATTATCTCTCTGGACCTTCAAACTATTTTTCAATACCCTTTCCTCATTTTATTCTTTTATATCTTAATATTTAAGTTAATTTACTTTAAATAAAACCCTATCCCCTTTAACTAACTTTGGTCCTTCGAGCCGGATATCGAATATCAGTCCTTGCTTTGAGTCAATTAACCAGACCTATTTTAGTTTCACGGTAAGTTATTTTATAAAACATCTATACTTATTTAATACGCAAGCACGATTTTTGTGACAATTACTCCTCCGAAACTACTGAACCGATAGACATGTTTTTGGTGTCATTGTAAAGAGCGTAACGTGAAATTGTGCAGGAAACCTTCTTTTAAAGGAAATAATTAGAGAGTGAGGCCCTGGGGCCCTTTAAAGTTTCGTATTTCTCCATAAGGATAACAAGAGGGATAATTTTTATTTACAGAAACCAGAAACATATATGTTTTTCACTTGAAAATAGTCAAAGTCTACTACATAATAATTGCTGTGTATTATGACTGTTAATGTATACTACATTTCAATCAAGGATTGTGTGCCTTAAACTTTACTCATAATGGATCTCACTACTTCATTTTCATGCTGGGAATAGTAAAATTTAGTTGAGAATAAGTTACCATATTTAGAAAACTTTACTATAATAATTGATGTATTTAAAATCACAAATCTTTGACATTATTAATTCATTAGAAACGAAACAGCTGATCGAGAAATCAAACAAATCATCTACTTCATGTGAGGAATGTTTTTACACAAACATAGTTTTTTTTTTAACCAAATACAGTACCTTGATTCTTTTTTACTTGTGGGTGTATTTTGAGTTTGCAGTTATGAAAGCACCAAGCCAAGTACCTTCTATCTAATTTTCTTTATAAACTAACAGTAATAATGAATTACTACATGAACTTTACAAGTTAGGTAATTAACTGTCAGTATGCCAAGGGGAAGAGTGGGTCCTCGAAAACAGTCGAAGGCAGAGGCACCCATCTAAAAAATCCAACTGAGTTTTTAAATATAGAGGTCAGTGTATTGCCAAGACACAGATTATACTAATAAAAGGAGGCAGTGGTTTTATTGATATTAATACATCAAAAAGGGCCTCATTAATGGCACAAGGCTTCATGTGATCAGAACGGTTAACAACAATGTAAAGTAGAATGTAAAGTCTTAACATGGAACAAGTGAGTAAGGACATATTTTGATTTTGGGGATACAAAATTTGCCCGTCTGAAACACAGTTACATTTTAAAATGGAAAGATGCTAATTTCTGTTATCTTTGGCATTTGCAGCATAAGCACTTTAATTAAAGAGCAGCAATGTTCTTAGCCAGACCAATTTCAGTCATGAGCAACTATATACTGTATATGTTGTTTTAAGTAAGGCTACATCTTTTAATAGTAGGATAAGCATATTCATTACGGAAAATTCTGACCAGGGTAATATTCCTGAAGGTGACTTTAAGACTAAAATCGTAGTATTTATGGAAGTGCTTTTGTGAAAAAAATATTGTTAAAAGTGTTTTATTCAAGCAGCATTTTATGACCCTCAAAATATGCCACATAGGTATATGCTACATTCACTGCCTATTGGTTTGATATGATAAAATGTTTTGTTAAATGTGTTTTTAAATCTCTTTAAAAAATAACTACCCTTTAACACACTTGAACTTGAACACTTAAATAGGCATACAGCTAGAAAACGGCTGGATTCCTTCCCTTCTAATGCTTTATTATTACTGTATTTAATTTTTGACGAGTCAATATATAACACGATGAATTTGTTTTCTAAATTCATAATATGTTTTTGCGGGGCATTGAGCCGCACAGGTTCACTAGTAACACTTAAATCACAAACATAAAAAAAAATAGTGAAACCAATTCTTCCAGCAAGATGTGGCCTTCAAGGCCTGGAAATAAATCTATTGATGAAAATCTTCTAAAGGTAACAGAAGTTTGCAAAAGCTGCTCATGTGTTTAACACGTTGATTACTTAAAATTGAATTGTTTTCATCTTAAGATGTCCTTTACTTACTAGCCGTTAAAGTTGTTCCTTTTCCAATGGAAGTCACAATAAAGGATTCGACATAGTTTGAACCATCACAACTGTAACATTTGTAGAAGAATAAAGCACAAAATAATTATAAGAATAGTTACCAAACAACCACAGCAATAATCATAACCCAGATTGCACATGTTTATGAGGAGATGTAAAACAATTTGAAATCTATTATCAATTTATGTTTGTAATTTACTACTAAATTATATAACAACTTTCATTTCAATTTATTTACATTTCATCCCATTCCAAAATAGTTTAAATTGACATTTCCTTTTACAAAATACCCATAATATTTTATATACAATTTTCTCTTTGGCGTATATTTATGACTTGCTAAAACGTTAAAGTTTAAAAACTTTTGCATCCATGCCACTCTTCATTACCGTACTTATTTTCAATTTAAAAAATTTGGACCATAGGGCACGCAGTCATGGTGCTAATTGATTTTGCTAATTGATCAAGGATAGCTGTGTGGTTTCGAATCACCAAACTTCTGACTGTTCTCAAGATTGAATCAACGCCTACCAAATTAGACGAACATTATAACCACTTAGATACACAGCCATATTTTCTTAAGCTGTCACGAAATCAGCTTACTTCATTGGTGTATACATACTACGAGTTACGCAGTTGTGTTTTAAACATTCGTGATGAAATTTTAAGCACTCTCCGTAAAGAAGTATCATAAGCAGAAAATTTCATACATAATAATTATGTAAACTAGTTTTATACCGGTTTCTTATATGTTTAATAGTTGGGCAAATGTCTAAACAGTGGCATATGAAAAAGGCAAATTCATCCTACTTACTAAACAAACGAGTCATGCTCTATGATAGTGTTGGGATCGTCCGCTAGAGGCATGAAGGTAACACAAACGTTGTCCAGCAACATGTTCTCCTCAGTCTTCGGAAGGAAGCTTAAGAAGTTCGGTTGGGTATTCAAAATCTGTAAATTCAAGTGCAAAATCACCAATCACCAATAAAATAACAGATTCATACTGTAAAAGTAGTGAGGTTGAATATTTTTATTGACAATCGTCTTTGCCATTTTTGTCTTATAATTTTATCACCAAGAAAATAACTGCTTATTAAATTGAAATCGAAAAATCCTTGGAGGTCTCAACTTTGTACTTTGAAGGCTTCACGAATCATCAATTAAAAAAAAAACGCAATAGTTTTGGAAAATAATTACCTACTGTGGGACCAAACTAGGTTTAAAATTAAGGCGATTCAGGAATGTCAAAATGTAGTTTTTTTAGTTTTTTTTTCAAACTCTTCGAGTTATCTTACCTTGTGAATAGAAAAGTCGATGGTAGGTGGATGCAGACATTCTTGACCATAGAGACTATGTATGGACAGAAAACCCAGAAATGAGTAGAAAATGGATTTCGCACAGCCATACCTGTATATTGCAAGGTAAATTTAAATAAATATTAAATATACATTTTATTTGTCGTAGGCTTAGTTTTAAAACACCAAACAATTACTGTATAAAAATATTGAATTAGTTGTTTCTTGTTTTGCATTGTTAAACCACAATTGCGTTCTTTAGTAGATTAGACACTTCATATAATAAATAATCTACGAGTTTATCATCCCTCATTATAAAATTTAAAAATTATTCATATTGCTCAAAGAATAGGTTATATATCAAGTTAAATCGTGTATGCAGAAGCTATAATTCAAAAACTAAACAACCTCTTAGGAGATGGGGTTAAGAGGATTTAGAAAATTTATCTCTGAAATAGCTATATCAAAAATGAATTTAAATATATTTTAGCATTGTTTATTAACTAACTTCTAATTTAGTATATCTAAAACTTGTATAGTTTAAATTATTTAAAATGGAAAGAATAAATATAGTTTAAGTAGAATATAGTCCTCTGTTATTGAAATTTAAGTTGCATTGTTCTAAAAATCTCATAATATTAAAAACTTTCAATAAGTAACTGTTTTACTTACATGTCCGTTGAGTATAGTGCTGCCTTGCATTATCAATTAATTTTCCTTATCACACAAGCACCGAGTTCAATGTAATTTCATTTGTAGTGACAAGACTGTAGGAATTATAAACTCGTCGAGGTTATGTGTGTAAGGTCACCAAGGAGTTATAAAAATAACTTACATAAAACAAAAAACACATATGCGATATAAATGCATAAGCAATCAATGACAAAATGTGTCAACTTTTTCATGTTTCAAAAAATATAGTCTTCACATTCAACGAAAAAAAGTGATTCTTTCGCAATTCGTTATTCAATTTTTTTGAACTTGAAGTCGTTTGACAGGAAAATTTAAAGGGAGATGCTTGCATTTTGGAGGTTTATGTATTACTAAAAATTCTGTATTAGCACAAAATTCGAATACATCATGTAAACGGTAACACTACCTTGAAATCATTGTGTAAATATTCAATTTTTATCAAAAACATTTTAATTTTAAATAAACGTTATATACCCCATTGGGAAGGTTTTAGGAAGGAAATAAAATTACTGATCTTAAAACAATATACTCTATTTCAGTATTATATTTTACAATTACAAAAATCGTTTAAGTATATACAACATCCAAGAGAAATTTCCAATGAACAGTACTTTGTTCTTAACTTCTTTAGCAAATATTTTTCAATTTATTTTCTCAATAAAAATCCGACATGTATTATAGGTATAACATAGCTTAACCAAGTCTTCTACATTAATATTTCGCCAAGAAGGTAACAACGATCTTACCAAAATTTTTAGCAGTATATTATACAAAAACCATGCATTTACATAAAAATTAAACTCTGCTTATAGTATTTTTTCTATGTTAAAATTCTAAGCAGTTGCAAATGTCAATACAACCTTCAACTTTGCCTTACCTTTGTTGTTTACCACTTTCAATTACTTAACAACTTGGTTACAAACCATTTGACCCAAACTTTATTCGAAAATGGGTTAAAACCCAAGATTTCTTAACACCATAATTTTGTCTTTATTTAGATCTCGTTATAACTGGATGACATCAATTCTTGGCCCTGATATAATTTTTCATTTATTAGCCTCAAACAGAAAATTGACGCTCAATTTAGACAAGGGCCTCGAACTTTCCACTGGCCACAAAAAACACAAATAATTAATAAAACTGTGTTTTCTCGTTACAATTTATGCTATTCGACAACTGACAAAGTATGGAATGGAACATGCCACATCTTTTACGAATGCAAATTACAAAGCTATCTAACTATCGGTTAAGTAGGGCTGGTGAAAAAGACTACAGAGAAAACTTTATTCTATATATAGATGGATGAGAATATTAATAGGATGTTAAACGTATTTAGATTTATACTTAAAATATGCATGCTTTAGTAGGTATAACCTCAAATTTCACTACGGTAGTTCCTGAAAGGTAGGCCTATTTAGTAAGTATCCTCCATTTTAATACACCAATCCCACAGTAGGCCCCAATTTGTTGTAGAATGGGTTGGGATGGATCGTACATGCAGCTCTGGTGACACATCGGTTAGGTAGTTTATTGGGAAGTATGTAATATTCGCTTTCAGGAAGACCAGCGTTGGTGATTACCTAAAAATACATATATTTAAAAAATAATTTGTTAATTTAAAAGTGCTCCAATTCCGAACACTGAGTTGAATCATATCCTAAGCATATTCATAATTGAATCCAGATAGGAAGTTGTGTTTGTCCATACCATTTTCCAGTTTAAAATCATTACAGACACAAATTTTATACCATTCCAAATATTCTGATTCCATAAAAAAGTGATTTTGACATTTAGATTGTCACCATTATTAAATATGTTTCTTCCTCTGAATTTAGCCTAAAATTTGTCTGACCATTATTATTCTCGGTTTTAAAAGAGTCAACTAGTTTATACACAATTGTATTGACATTGTTTTAAAAGTTAACAAAGGATCGTACATTTTATAAAACATATAAGTAGCTGCATATTCAGATATTTACGAAACTTCTTTGAAAATGTAAAAGCCGACTAAATACTAAATACATTGTTAATTACATTTATTAAAAAATTAAATTTATTAAAATTATTAATCATTATAAAGTAGTTTTATAAACATAACTTAACTCTCTTTTGTTCTTACTTCATATCATTTTAAAGGAGCATCTAAGTCTAATAAAATGTTAATAAACGTGTTATAAAATATTTCCTACTTACTTTAACAATGCATCACTACCTTATTAATTCACCTTATTTCCTTTTAATTCACAATTTTAAAAATTGTAATTCACCTTAGTTCACCTTATTAACTATTTTTAACTCTTATGTGAAGAGAGTATAATTTTCAAGTGTACCTCCTCAACTTTCCGCATGCACGATAGTCCCATGGAAGTACAACTGGTGGTAAGTCCAAATGTATACGGGGGTGTTGAATCTGTACAAACACAAAAAACATTATAGAAATATACAAAACACATGGCTAAAAAAAACACTACACACCTACGTATTATTTAAAAAAAAATTATCGAACTACATGTGAACTGAGAAAAATACTAGCATACTAGGGAGGTGGTCTCTCCTGCTTTTTCCTTTTTAAGATGGTGAATACATTCTCATTTTCCTTTATAGGAAGGTAAATCCTTCCTGCTTTCCCTTTTTAGGCAGGTAAATCTCTGCTTTCAATTTTATTTAGGTGTTGAGTGACATATTTATTTGACATTTGATGTTTGTCATTTGAGAGCAATTTTATTAGTAAGAATAGTCTTTAAAAATGGAGATATTAATTACACAAAATAAATAATTAAATAAATAAAAAATATGCACGGGAGGAGAATTCTTCCTGTTTTTCCTTTTTTAGTAAAGTTTAATCCTCAAAGTATCGATTACTGGCAAATGTCACCGAGTTTGGTTCAGAACAGATTTTGCTTAAAATATTATATTTTTTTATATTCTTCACAATATTTAGCCACTACTTATAAACACTTTTTACCTCCAAACAGAGGACATCTGTAGACAACCTGGATGTCACACCCTGCATATCCCACAATGTAGTCCCGATAAGTCGCCCGGGGGTCTGAAAAAGTCGTCAAAATTAATATCATCTGCTTATAAAAAGTTTCATTTTTGAGTCTCGAATCACTTACCATTTCATAAGAGGTCAATTTACCGTAATTTCGTCTATTGATTCGTTTAACTCCAAGGGTGGATGAAGATAGTTTCGGAGACTATGTCACCTTTACAAAGCTTTTGTCCATGCTGCATATCGAAGATGATATTTATTTATGTATTTATTTATAAACAACTATTTACAATAGCTATAGATATACACCCAAAACAGCTATAATGAAAAATAATATAATATTAATACATAAAGTAGAGAACGAAAAAAATACAAAATGTGCACATAAAATTTATGTGCACATTTTGTATTTTTTTTTCGTTCTTCCTATTTAAAATTCTAAAAAAAAAAAAAAAAAAAAAAAAAACAGTGATGATAATATAGTCCATCATCCTAACTTAACTATAATTCAGCGGTGTCTGAGTTTATCACAGCCAAATATATATACAAACATAATCTTTTGTACTTATAGATGGGGGAAATAATGGAAAACTTTTGATTGTGTTATACAATTGATGGTAATATTACTTACTACCCGCTACGAAGGTTCCTTTAGCACCAGCAGTTGTTACGAAAGACTCCACGTAGTTTGATCCGTCACAGCTGAAACATGGGGCAACGTTAAATTACAAGTAAGTTAGTTAGTTTGTGGAATGTAAAACTTATTTATAAGACCAGTTGGTAATTACTATATTGACTAGGAATTACTTTAATTGACATATGAGCCCAGTTGGTAATTACTATATTGACTAGGAATTACTGTAATTGACATATGAGCCCAGTTGGTAATTACTATGTTGACTAGGAATTACTGTAATTGACATATGAGCCCAGTTGGTAATTACTATGTTGACTAGGAATTACTTTAATTGACATATGAGCCCAGTTGGTAATTACTATATTGACTAGGAATTACTTTAATTGACATATAAGCCCAGTTGGTAATTACTATATTGACTAGGAATTACTTTAATTGACATATGAGCCCAGTTGGTAATTACTATATTTACTAGGAATTACTTTAATTGACATATGAGCCCAGTTGGTAATTACTATATTGACTAGGAATTACTTTAATTGACATATAAGCCCAGTTGGTAATTACTATATTGACTAGGAATTACTTTAATTACATATGAGCCCAGTTGGTAATTACTATATTGACTAGGAATTACTTTAATTGACATATGAGCCTAGTTGGTAATTAATATATTGACTAGGAATTACTTTAATTGACATATGAGCCCAGTTGGTAATTACTATATTGACTAGGAATTACTTTAATTGACTTATGAGTCCAGTTGGTAATTACTATATTGACTAGGAATTACTTTAATTGACATATGAGCCCAGTTGGTAATTACCATATTGACTAGGAATTACTTTAATTGACATACGAGCCCAGTTGGTAATTACTATATTTACAGAAATTACTGTAATTGACGTGTAAGGAATTGATATGGTAGTAAGGGCAGCACCAACAATTATTTTTAGTTTCCAAACACAGGGTGGCCCGCAAGTAACAACCACACTCCTGGAAATTACTCTATGGGTCAAAATAAAGAGGAAATCATGAATACAATTTTATCCATAATCACTTGGTTAACTAGATACCCACTAATTGTATTTTTTCATAAGCATTTGTGTCTTTTAATCGTTCTAACCGACGGTATAATATTAGGTAGAGGAGACTTATGTTTAGGAAAAATAACTTGGCCCAGTTGAAGATTTAATAATGGCAGCTCTTTGGTTATTATAATTTAAATGAATAAAAATGGCTGTTTTCATGAAGAAATGTCAAGAACAATTTAAACATGTAGCCTGGGAGGGACGGGTTCAATTCCCGGCACATCTACCAATCATATGAGCTTGGGCCGCTTTACCAAAAGTGTTTTAACTAATACTCTTTCTTATCTAAAAATGACAACGGCGTGGACAAGAAAAATATAAAACTCACTTACTTTGCGTATAAAACTTAACTACCAAACAACAAAAAGATGGAGTAGCAAATAGTTGAAATGTCGTTATTTTTAGCTGGAAATGAGAAAAAATAATGCTAAGCTTGTCGATATGAACAAAATAAATCATATTTTTTTTCTACAATAGATCTATTTTCTCTAAAACATCCCAAGCTTTATAAAGATTGGTTGAAACAGTTCAAAGAGACTAAAATGTTTACAAACCTAAACAGCGGATAGATATGTAGCAGTATTGGTAAATCACAATAAAATTAAGTTAAAACATCTGTTATTCTTTGAGTCGAATTTCAAATAATAAGTTAAAATTGCAAATTTTTCCTAACCTAATCTAACCTAACCCTAACCTAATTAACGTTAGGTTGGGTTGAAATGTGGTCGGTATAATACGTAAGTACCAGTAAAAACATCTCTTCTACTCACTAGACAAAAGAGGAATACTCCACAACAGTATTAGGATCTTCAGGCAGAGGAATAAAAGTTAAACAAACATTGTCCAATAAAACGTTGTTTTCGTCCTTCGGCAGAAAACTGAAGAAGTAAGGTTGACTGCACAGAAACTACAATCAAAATCAAAACAAAGTGTCTTAAAATTGGAGAGGTATTTTTTAAATTTCGAGTATAGATAAAGTTATGGAAATTTCTTAAGGTTATGACCTTAAGAAATTTCCATATACCTTTTTGTGTTTGTAAATTTTCTCTCACATCCACTGGATGAAAAGGTTTAAAATAGAGAATTTTTTTACTGTTCTTTTAAGTGAAATGTCGTAGTTTTTGTAGTAAATTGATTGGTGGAACTTAAGTAATTTGCTTAGCCATCTTATCTACCTACTGGTGAATTACCATTGGATTGTTAAGAGCCTGTTTGTAAATAATCAAGCATGTGAATGTCGGTAAAATTAAAAATTATATTTCGGAACATGTTCCCGAACGATGAAGGAATATAAAGTACATGTTAAGAAGCTCTTCCTGTCTAGGTCCCCACGGACACCGATTCGTGTCTTCGGGTGACAACGATGTTAAAATCGATTAAGTGCTTTTATTCAATAACTTCTTGGTATATAGGCCCTAGAGTGCCATATTTAGAGTGATTTGACTCCTGCACTGTTGACAAATCAAGTAGAATCCAAGGCCAAATGGTCGGTTTAACAAATTTTGTGTGCTTATTCTTACATCTTGCACAGTGATGTCTGTTGTTGCAGGTTTCAAGCATTCCTGGCCTCGGCTGTGTTGTGATAACACCAACAATAAACTGCAAACAGTGATGGAATACCTGCAAAATAACAATTAACTCTAGTGTTAATCGAAATCGAGCAATTAATTGCCAAGTATTACAGGAGTTATTTTAAAACAAACAACTCTCAGTGACTGTTTTTTGTGAATTTATTAGACTAACTCGAAGGTTATACAGGTAATGGAAATGTCTTTTGGCCTATCTTTGCATCTATATATTTACGTAAAACGATTCTTTGCGTCAAAACTGTGGGCGACTGGGAAGAGGGCCACATAGAACGACAGGAGAAGGCTCAAATTGAAGGCCTCTCTCCCGTGACGGTGGGAAAAATAGTGATTCCCACAATTTTAACACAAAATTAGATTATAACGTAAAATGTTCTCCATAAGAATAGCATTTACAGCAGATTTTTGTTTACTTCAATACATCTGATCGTGATTTATCACTAAGCCAGTGCATAATGTTACCATTTGGATTACTTATTTGCCAGTCAATTCTGCAATGTACTGTATACTGTATAAAACAATAAATAACGGGCCTATTGGCATTGCAATAAAAACACTAATATAAATATCTTCCCTGTAACAACAATCCTAAGTACTAAGTAAAATAAATTTTAATTAAATCTTACTAATATTATAAATCTGAAAGTTTGTGAGTTTGTGTGTATGTTTGTGTGTATGTTTGTGTGTATGTTTGTGTGTGTGTTTGTTGCTCAATCACGCATAAACTACTGGACGGATTGGGTTGAAATTTGGCATGATGATAGCTCACATTCCCGATTAACATTAAAGCATATTCTTATCTCATAAAACCCTTTCGGGCTCCGCCCCAGTGGCTCTGTAGTTCCCCATGTTAATCTTATGATTTTTCATATTTAATTAATGAACCTTAACAGCTGTTTCTATTAAACAAGTTGGTTCTGTTCTATGATGTTCAATAGCATAAAAGTTACAAGGATTACCAACAGGGTGCAGCACTATTATTTTTTTCTAATTTATGACAACAGCTAATTTCCAACCAAAAGGTGAGTGAGCGTAGCGAACGAACTTCAACCTGGAGGCGAGTTAGCGTAGCGAACGAGCTAACCTGAAGGCAAGTAAGCGCAGCAAACGAGCTCCAACCTAAAGGTGAGTGAGCTTAGCGAACGAACTTCAACCAGGACGAGAATGAGCCATGCAAATACTTATGAAGTTAAACGGGGCGAAGCCCGCGGGTACAGCTAGTAGGAAATAAATCGGACAATTTTTAGGGAATATTTTAGTAGAAAACCAACCAGGTAAATACAAATTCGCTTAGTTTGCAGGTTTTCTGTGGTGGGGGTATTAACGAGTTGTATAGTTAACAGTTTCTGACGATATTTTTAGACTCAAAAACTCTTTATTTCATTTCAGCAAAATCCTTCTTCTGTATTTTGCGATAAATGCTAAAAACCCACAAACAAACATAGCTCGTATAAGAGTATAGGATTCTAGAAACAAATGGTTAAACACTTACATGGCTACTTAGTCGGCTACTTACTACTACTTACTACTTACTACTTAGCTACTACTTACTAGGCCTACTTACATGGCTGTAACAAGAAACAATATTGTGCCGTTTCAGTGTTACACTACTGCGTACTGTTCTTATCACTTCATCGTTTGTATTTAATTTGCACAGACTGGTGTGTACTATAGTTATAGTCAGGAGGGTAACGACTTCTACTTATAGCTATAGAGACAATTATTATTGCACCTTTAATGATATTATCCGTGGATGTATTGGGAGCCTTAAGAAACGTTTGCAGCACAAACTCTTTAGAATTTAGTAGGTTGAAACGTTGTTATACGATTAAAGATTACAGAGAAAATAAAAAAAATGTTTAAAACTCTTATGTTAATTTTTATAGATAAAAAAATTGTGTGGAAGTACAAGGATTAAGTGATTATTTTAGTGAACATCCAAACTAGGGATGACAATTCACCTATGCAGGTTTGCTGTGGTGGGGATATTTACCAAGGTGGGCTTTGAAGGCCGTGGTTCACGTAGATGTAAAACTTTGGCCGTTGATGTGGGGAACTTTATTTTGTTCAGGAAACTTTAAAAAAGTATACCATCGTGACAAGTATCAATCATCACGATAACAATAGTTATTTGTGTAACCAGTGCAGCAAAGTTACTTTGCGCTCGCGTTACACATTATATTTTCTCTACAGTTACTATTCAGTATTGAAATAAATCTTTAAAACACTGTACAACCATTGAGATATAGATTATAACTGGAGTCACTACTCTCTGGTTAAACGTTAGAGAAAAACGTGCCACTGTTTTGCCTGGTTTGTTTTTGGTGTTTCGTGTTGTTAGGTTGGCCGTGTGATCGGTTGGTGGGATGCTGTCAAATAATTCCAATTCATTCTAACCTAACCATACTATTTATTTGGGGTTATGTTATCCGTTATTTCAAGGACTTGTATCAAAAACTTATTTAAGTTATTGCACGTTAAAACCTCTGTATTTAAAGTTATTTTGAAACATTATACTTTGTTTTTGTTTGATAGTAAATAAATACTAACTTATTTACCTCTTTTCAAGCTATGTGGTCAAAATAGGCTCAGAGTCAAGTTTCCTGGTTTGGAGATATTGGTTTAGGCCAATAGCCCTATGGCATTTGATTAAATAACGACCATCGGTTTATGATCTTGTTAAAATGGGTTGCTCTTGCTCGTAAAATAAATCAATAAACTTATATTGCAATCATAATGTTGAGTTGGCAGATTTTTGTTTACTATCATCAACAAAACAGGATGACGCCATCTTGATTTTGCCTCTAATTTGACAAGTCCCACCAACCCGATCACCCGGCCAACCTAACGAAACGAAACTCTGAAACAAAACCAGCAAAAATAGTGGTACGTTTTTAAAACACCGAGTGGTTACTCCAGTTATTATTATAGCTCAGTGATGGCAACTAAGGGACCTGCAGTTGCGCTCAATATTCCAAGCAGACAACTTCATTGTACACCTAGTTATAGTACACGTTAGGTTGTGCAAATTAAATACAAACGAAGACGAGGTGATAAGAAAAACAGTACGGACGGTAGTGTAACATTAAAGCAGCCATTCTATTCTATTCTTTCTAGGTTGCAGCCATGTAAGTGGAAACCATTTGTTTCTATAATCCTATACTTTATGTTTAGAATTTATAATTCAAACAAACAATTTTTATCAGCTATTTGAAATTAACCAGCTAACTATCAAAATCAACTTAATACAAAAAGGCTATTAATTTGTATACAGGGTTTTTTCCAAATTGTCTGGACATATTTTGTGGACTTTAAAATGCCATATAAGTATTGGTCTAAAATGCATAGATTTCTGTTTGTTGGTCTGTTTTAAGAACTATTTTATATCTTGGGCAGTTTTCAAGATAGAAATTTCAAAATTGGTATAAATGTGTATTTCAGTAGTTAAAAAGAGCTTACAAAGTTCCGTTCCAATATTTCAAGCCGTTTCAATATGGCGGTAATTTAAAATCTTTAATGCCAAATTTCATGAAAACCGTAAATATTAAGAACCTTGTTTATCATATAAAAATATGAGAAAACAATTTTCTTATATTTTTTCAGGCATGATGGAATCACTGGACCATTTTTCCTTGCGGAAGAAAATGTGAATAGGTTTGTTTACTTGGATATTTTGCAGTTGTATGTTGTCCCTCATTTAGAAGATCTGCAACCTATGATAATTTTTCAGCAAGGCGGCGCTCCGCCGCCCGCCTCATTGAGCTAAAAGTGTGAGGGATTTTTTAATTTCTTTTTGTGGGGATTTGTCAAGGACACTGTCTATTCTGCCCCAGTTCCTAATTTACAAACACTGAGGGAGAGAATCATAAATGCTGTGGCGTCTGTAACCCAGGATATGCTGGCTGAAACCTGGGACGAATTAAAAATACGTCTAAAAGATCTGAAGGCCACTAGAGGGGCACATGTAGAGGTGTATAAGGTTTCCTTATCAGGCCAAGACTTTGTGGACACCCTGTATTTCCATCAGATGCATAATCTTCGAGGTAAATCCAAGGTCTAATAAACCCACAAAAAATTATATTTGAGAGTTTTAAAATAACTCCTGCAATACTTGGCAATTAATTGCTCGATTTCGAGTAACAGGTAATTGTTATTTTGCAGGTATTCCGTCACTATTTACATTTTACTGTTGGGTTTGCTATCACAACACAGCCGAGGGCAGGAATGCTTAAAACCTGCAACAACAGACATCACTGTGCAAGAGGTAAGAACAAACTAGATGCAGCTATTGTTTGTTCAACCCTTTTAGAATAGTAAATTAGTTTCAACCATAGATTCGTGGTTTGTAGTCGATAACGGTGTCAAAATAGACAAAACTCTTTTATTCACCGAAATTTTGGAGTTTCCACTTGGATCATCGACTGTGCAGAAGTCAAGTCATCGACTAAAGAACACACACGAGGGGACGTTGACGAGCTACAAGGGCGTATACCTGCAAACGACAGAAAGTATAAACTCGAGGAGAAGTGGCGCAAGACGCCACATGGACTGGACTGGAGTCTCTCGATGACAGTCCATAAGACCGAAAAGTTAGTGAATTAAAGTCAAAAACAACAAATCCTCAAGCATACGCAGAAAGAGTTACTGTAATGATTCTTATAATGTACTCTATATTTCTTCAACTTTCGGAAACATGTTCTCAAATTATTATTTTAAATTTCACTGACATTCGCATGCATGAGTGTTTACCATGCATTTAGTTCTTTCAATCCAATGCTAATTCAAAATTAGGTGACTATTTTACAAGCGAATCACTTCAAGTCCGCCAATCAAATTAGCCTACAAAGATTTCGGACAGTTATAAAACCGAAATATACCAAACATTTTGGTGTTTGTGAAATTTCATTCTCATTCAGTGTAACATTATAAAAATTCCTAAACACATTTTTTAACTGGAAATATACTTTGCCAATATTAAGAGACACAACTGGTTGTGATTTTAATTGCAGTTTCTGTGCAGTCAACCGTACTTCTTCAGTTTTGCACCAAAGGACGAAAACAACGTTTTATTGGACAATGTTTGTATAACGTTTTTTCCTCTGCCGGACGATCCTGATACTGTTGTGGAGTACGACTCTTTTGTCTAGTGAGTATAAGAAATATTTTTACTCGTAAACGGTATCAGCAATTTGAGACTTTCTCCCATAAGCTTGTCAATAACCTTTATCATGGGTGGGAGTAACTATGATAGGGGGAAATCACATAAGTTACATTAACTTTTTAATTTATGGGTTTTTATGGGAAATCACCATAATAAATAAGAATTTCAAAAAGCCTGGAGATACCATGCGTTAGTACTGACATACCAAACTTCATCAAAATCGGACTGCAGGTGTGGTCTGTAGCTCTGTCCACATCCACACATACACACTGACATCACTTCGAAAACAAATTTTTTGGGTCTAGTCAGAGTGACCCAAAACGGGTATATCCACTCAAAACTCAAACTCAAAAATTTGACGAAAACAATACTTTCTCCATATACCATGTATAGGGAGAGAAAGTAAACACAGACATACTGTTATCGGGACCATTAATTTTATTCTACATTTTTTAATGCTGTGAATTTATAAAATTGAAATAGTATATTTAAATATGACTTACAAATTGATGAATTGTAGTTGTCTTTCACACTCATTAGCAACCAATGTGCCTAATGTCTGGCCTAATGAATCGATGAACTCCCCAACGGTGATGCACAAATTGTAGTTTACGCAACGATTGCGTAAATATTAGTTGCGTACACTACTTTACCTACGAATTGTTTTTTAATTACTAACAATCTGGTTTTTAATTACTAACAATCACTACTCATAACTTCTTAGAGAGGTTATGTTTTCGTTTATTGTCATTGCCACTGTAAGTGATACAACGACTTATTGTATAATCAGCTGATTTCATGTAATTACGTGTTTGTAAAACTTCATAAAATAATACGTTACTTTTTGGGGAATAGGTTCTGCCAGCAGCATTTTTTACCATAAATACTATATCAGGTACAATTAGGAAAATATTGCATATTTTTTGGACAACTGAATAATTATAGTGAAACAGTTAATTTACAGTTGGATCTCAGCATCGAATATGTGGTCCACAACGAGTTGGGTGAAAAATTGGTTATGAGGTTTTCAAAATAAACCAGAAGCACATTTTCATATATCAATTTAACCTTGTTTTGTTTCGTCCAATTAATGAATTGCTGGTATAATTTCATACCTTTTTTTCGATTTTGGTGGCAAAAGATTAGCACAAACAGTTTGTGCTCTCATTTTCATCTCGCCAACTTAACTTTTACTACTAAATTTTTAAATCAGTTTTAGGCTAATCTAACTTCCTTTAACTTTTACCAACTTAGGTTAAGAATACGCGAGTATCAACAGGAACACGTTGGATCAACAATTAAAGTTGTCAACTGATCAGCAGTTGACGTTCGAAGCATTACAATTTTACTAGTTTTCTCTCAATCCTTGAACCTCATTGGTCCGTTACCCGTGTTGTTATGAGAAAAACTATGCTGATATGAAATGAAACTATGCTTTTATGAAAGTGAACAGCTATTAAGTGAAACTTTTCAATTATAAGAAGTGAACTGAAATGGCTACTTTAAAATAACAGCCGTAGGTAAAAAAACATTTCATGTTTATCTTTGAACTGTTTAAACAGATTTGAAGGTGGGAATATATTTTAGGGTAGAATATACCTATCGTATGAAACAAATTCTTAGGTCTCCTCTACTTAAAACCACCGGTTAGAAGAATTAAAATTAAAAGGACAGGGACTATATATCCCGAATTTTGGTTGATAGCTTGCGAGCCACCCTGTAGTTACAAGCTATATTTACTCTTCGATGCTGCCAAGGTTTACACATTTCAATCATTTTATTGATAAATATTAATTCCTAGTTAATACGTAGTTACCAACTGGGCTTTTATGCTTAAATTCCATAATGTTTAGCTTATTATTTAACATTTCAATGTCTTCATGACTTGTTTTAGCTGTGACGGTTCGAACTACGTAGAATCTTTCATAGCAACTGCTGCTGCTAAAGGAACATTCATCACAGCTAGTAAGTGGTCAAACCATCAATTTTATACCACAATCAATTGTTTTACGATCATTCCCAATTTAATACACACACACAGACACACCCACACACACACAGATCTGTAGTCTATGTGGACGGGCAAATGCAAGGTTAAAAGAGGCCACCAACCTCTTAAAAAAAAGAAAAATTTAGAATGGTTATACCCCATTAAGGAATTACTAGAGGAATATTTCTTGCGGGGTCTTAAAATAAACATCTCAGATATTTTTCCTGTATTTTGATCAAACAAGTCTTCAATCTGTAGCTTATACCATTGACTATTGGATACAGAAGAAGACATCCCATCTATATGGATCAGCTGTCGCCAATGTTTTACTAAAAAGTAATGTAGCTTATGCCTATAGAAGTTCAGCATCTTTTGGCTTTGCCATCTCATTGGCAAATCCCGCACAAATCCCGCAAATCAATCAATCACGTCCTGGTTGAAGTTCGTTCGCTACGCTCACTCACCTTTAGGTTGGAGCTCGTTCGCTACGCTCACTCATCTTTAGGTTTCTCATTGGCAAATCCATATAAATCCCTATACTTTTATACTATACCCTTTATACTTTTATATTAGCAATGTTTGCTATTGTATTGATCATTGAACGTTTTTGTTAGTATATTTTTAAATTAATTTATTTAGAATAAAACATCATTTGTTAACTATTTTGTTCACTTCGATCAATTGGCAGACCTGAGAACGCACACCTAGTAATCTGTAGATTAAATCAAGATAATTCAACCTCCAATTATTAATTACCTAACTTAAGTAATTTAATACTATACGAAAATGATACGGTTATAAGCAGCTGATATTTATTTTGACTACATTTTCAGACCCCAGAGTAATTTATCGGGACTACATCGTAGGATACGCTGGGTGTGACATCCAAGTTGTGTACAGATGTCCTCAGTTCGGAGGTATGACGTTTTTATAAGTACCTTAACCTACTTATAAATACCTTAAGTTTCTACCTAAACCTATATACTATTTAAGTTCAAAGCTGTTTTGACATAAATCCCAACTGCCTGGTGGCATATCATGGCTTTTAAACGCTACTTGGAGGAATTCACCTCACTAAAAAGGAAAACAGGAAGGACCCTCCTCCCTAAAAAGGTAAATCACCTATTTATATATTTTACATATCAATGGGCACCTCATTTGTACGAACATGATATATTAAAGCATTTTTCTGAAATGGCTGTAATATTAAAAACATCAAATACCACCACTATACAAATTAAAAGCAGGATTCATTCACCACCATACATATTTCTAGGAAGGATTTCTTTTATAAAAAAGAAAATCCGGAAGGATTTACCTTTCTAAAAAGGGAAATCTGGAGGTATATATCTTCCCAAATAGGGAAAGCAGGACGGATTTCTTTCCTAAAAAGGGAAATCAGGAAGGATTTACCTTCCTAAAAAGGGAAATCCGGAGGGATTAACCTTCCTAAAGAGGGTAATCAGGAAAGATTTACCTTCCTAAAAAGGGAAAGCAGGAGGGTTTTATCTTTCTACAAAGGGAAATCTGGAGGGATTTACCTTCCTAAAGAGGGAAATCTGGAGGGATTTACCTTCCTAAAGAGGGAAATCTGGAGGGATTTACCTTCCTAAAGAGGGAAATCAGGAATGAAATTCTTATTTCTATAAAGAGTTCAATAATGGTTTTGTATAATCAGGGGCAGTTAAGTATTATTATTATTTTTAACGTGGTGTTTTGTATATTTCAATAATGTTTTTGTGTTTGTACAGATACAACACCCCCGTATACATTTGGACTTACTACAAATTGTGCTTCTATGGGATTATCGTGTATGCGGAAGGTTGAAGAGGTAAACATACACATTTCAATCTCTTCATAAGAGTAAAATAGTGTTTTCATCACTAGGTGCGAAAGTGGCTCTTTTTGGTTCGCAACTGCGTGGAAATACGATTAAATGCCAAAAAGACACTTTCGCTCCGAGTGATGAACAAATCTGTAAAAGTCGTCGTCAATGTTTACATTTCTGTTGTTTACAAATATATCTCTAAACATCGTGTAATAAGCAGAGTTTTCATAATGCACTGATACAATTTTGAGGTTAGAGAACTGAAAAAATTACCATATTGAATTTTTTTGTTCCCTATTTTAAGTTGCCCTAAAACGATGAATTTGCGGACGGTTTAGAGAACTAAAATCGTCTGTACTCCGGACAGTATGATGAAAAATAAATACTAGGCCTAAGATCAATGTAGTGATGCATTGTTTAAGTGAGATAAAATATTTTATAGCCTGCTTATAATCAATTTATTATTTTCTCCTTAATAATACGAAGTAAGCACAACAAACGAAAATTATTTTATGTCTTACTTAATACTACTGGATCATGATTAATAAGTATACTAAATTTTAATTCTAAAATACTTAGCGATGTATTTGGTATTTATTAGGCATTTAAATTCTCAAAGACGTTTTGCAGACAGCTGAACCTACAACTACCTAAATGCTTTTATCAACGACTAGCTGTACCCGCGGCCTTTGCCCCGTTTAACTTCATAAGTATTCGCATTTTTCAATCACGTCCTGGTTGAAGTTCGTTCGCTAAGCTCACTCACCTTTAGGTTGGAGCTCGTTCGCTACGCTCACTTGCCTTCAGGTTAGCTCGTTCGCTACGCTAACTCGCCTCCAGGTTGAAGTTCGTTCGCTACGCTCACTCACCTTTTGGTTGCAAAATAGCTGTTGTCATAAATTAAAAAAATAATAGTGCTGCACCCTGTTGGTAATCTTTGTGACTTTAATGCTATTGAACATCATAGAATAGAACCAACTTGTTTAATTGAAACAGCTGTTAAGATTCATTAATTCCTTTTAAATATGAACAATCATAAGGTTAACATGGAAAACTCCAGAGCCACTGGGGCGGAGCCCGAGAGTCCGATCAGAATAAAAACTACTTAGTTTTCCTATTTAATACCTAAAGAATCAGTGTACCAAATTTCAGCTTCCTAGGTAAATGGGAAGTGGGAGAATTAGTGATGAGTGAGTGAGTGAGTCAGTCAGTGAGTCAGTGAGGGCTTTGCCTTTTAAATATATAGACTAAGTAAGTAGTAGTTAGCATTAGTAGTTGGTAGTAGCATTCTTTGCTAACTTTTAAAACAAGCTTGATAAAATTGTGTATAAGCAGTTCGACTCTTTTAACACCGAGAATAATAATAGTCAGATAAATTCAATGATAAATGAATAGGCTTGGAAGAAAATGTTTAAAGAATGGCGACAATCTAAATGTTATTCACTTTCGTTTGATCAACAATGGAATCAGAATATTTCGAGGTAGTCAATTTGTGACTAGTGATTTTAAACTGGAGAATGCATGAACAAACGTCCATACTACCCAGGGATTCAATTTAGAATGTGTTTGGGGTATGTTTAAACTCTGCGTACAAAATTTGAGTACTAAATTGACAAATGATTAAAAACAATATGTATTTCCAGGTGATCGCGAACGCTGGTCTACCTAAGGACGAATATTACATCCTTCCCAATAAACTACCTAACCGATGTGTTACTAGAACTGCGTGTACGATCCATCCCAACCCATTCTACAACAAGCTGGAGCCCACTGTGGGATTGGTGTATTGAAATGGAAAACAATCATAGTAAAATAATGATTTATTAGAGGTTAAACCTTCTTTATGTTCTCAAGTATATTTTATGATAATCCAAACAATACTAGACGAATATAATTAAACATATATGGACAGTAGTGCTGCAGTTAGCATATTTCTGGCATCCACCGCTAGGAGCACCATGTAAAACATGGTAAAACATGTAGCATTTATTTTTTAAACTTCTTATTAAATAATTAATCAATTATTGTTAAAATGTGTTTCACAATGTTTTATACTTAAATCCAACAAAGGTCCAACTGTGAGGCCCAACGATTCTTTCCTTTGTAGGGCCAACGAACCATTTCCCAACGTTGGGCCAACGGAGGGTGCTACTTAGGAGCCAACCATAGACAAATAAAGGCCCAATAAGTAAAGTAATACAATTTGTAATAAGTTTTAACATGTAACGAAAATTGTGGGTGGAATATCACGACAATTCCCCGACAATGGCCCAACGAAACTACAATGTGTTGGGCGAACAACACAAATACTGCGCTTGGGCCAATGTTGGCAGTTTGTTGGCCAACCCACCTACCATCTGCCAACCACGCCAACCACGCCAACCAATTCCCAACGTTGGCCCAACTAACCTTGTTGATAGGGTTGAGTCTATAAATCGTATCTGTGTTGTTCAGAAAGTTCATTTCTAAATAATTCAGATGAGATTTTAATTTTCAAACACATCTCTCACTAAGGTCACGATTTCATCCTTGTGGGTATCTTAAGGACTTTTAAGGTGTGTTTAAGTGCCAGAAAGATTTCAAACAACAACACTTTATTGAGGAAATTGAGTATTTACATTAAGCAACAACAGTTTACACCTTGACACCCTCAGCCTCCGCCAGACTCTTGTACTTGTTACGGTAGATACCCTCAGGGTCGTACTTCTTCTCCAGCTTGGCGAAGTGGTCTGGCTTCTTCTCGTAGATGAACTTGAGCACCTTCTTGGCTCCGGCCTTCTGCTTGTCCGAGCACTTGGCGCAGTCGGTCTGAAGTGCGTCGGGAAGTGCCTCTGAAATGAGGAAATTTAATTAAAGCTTGCTTTACATGTGAATTTTCTCAGTACAAGCTCTAAAGGATGGCGAATTTTAAAACGTAAATGATAATATTTTTCCTACGATTTATTCAATTGATTTAAGTGAGTTTGCAAAGAATTACAGTTTAATGTGATTAAATGAAAAGATTGGGAGGAAAATAGACAAGAAACACGGGGTAAAGGGGGGTGAGGTTGTATTTTGTTTTAACGTTTTGGAAAAAAAACATACAGAAACAAATGCTATTTAAACATAGATATTTTCAATCTTATTTTTAACGTCTTCGGAGATTGGAAATTTGACTTAGTACTATAGTACTAGTACGCTTCTGACGATGGAGTAGTCTCATAAACGGCCGTATATCGCCTCTGACAGCAAATATGGTAAGGATTAAATACATTTTGATACATTTCCCCACAATCGAGAACCATTTTCATGTTAGATTGATAAATCTACTCCCTTTGTAAAATTTATGAATCTTATGTTGATCCTTAAGAATAACTTTATAACTATTTTAAGTTACGAATTTCAAGAAATTAAATAACTTTTTATGTACTGTATTCTTACTAACTTTGAGAAATTGTGTATTTTAAAACTCAATGACATATTTGAAAACTAACGTTTGTCCGTAAAATCGAGTCGACATCAGCGCACCCAAAAGTTGCCAACACGAAACACGAGTCAAATGAGAATCGGAATCAGTTGCTCGACGTATTAATATTTAATTAAGTTTTTAACGTAAAAATTAATATATAAGATTAAATTCAAATGCTTTGATTTTGTCTAATTGAACAACATTAACGGGCGTGGCACAAACAAGGTAATAAATTGTGACGTGATTTACATAACGAGTAAATTACCAATGTAATAGTATGAAACTACTAGTTCCATGACAGTGATACTAGTATAAACGTAAATTTATAAAGATAAGTTGGAATAATATCACAATAAATAAAAAAACCTATAAGTGCTTTCGTGGTTGAACCAAAATTGTATTTGTTTTATTATTTTGTTCCATATGATGCTAGACTAGCCCAGGATCTTTTTCACTTTACTTCACAATAGGCCCCAAAGGTTGTGGCATTACAATTTCAATAAAATCCTTTGGTGATTGGCGGGATTTAAACCCGGGACCTCAGGGACCGAAGTCCCGTGCTCTACCACTAGACCAGCTGGCCCTCCATCACTTATTATATCAGAGTTGTTATTGTGAAACAATTTAACTTTTAGCTACGCTGCAATAAAAGAGAAGTTAAATATTTTTTAGAGTGTTACCGATAAAAGTTCTAAAAAGTTGTCTAATTTCTTGAAAGCAAATATAGTTGAATTATTTAACCATTTATTTGTATAACTTTCAAGACCGCCTTGCAGTTTCAGACCTTGTTTTAAAAATTACATTAATTCTTTTTGTTAACAGATGTCTGCTGTTAATTTATATTTCAGTCCCACCTTTCCGCTGCATTAAATTAAGATTTAAAATATTATATTTCATTCTTGAAGTGGATTTTATCCTTTTTGACTTTAACGGTCGACCTTGAGATAATATTAATTTTGTGGAGGATTCAGAAGGAGACATTATTTTAAAAGAATTGTCAGTGATGAACACACAAGGAAGACTATAAAATTTGACGATTGATTTTAATACGTCGAGCCAAAGACAAGAAGTTGTCAGCAACAAGTCTGGCAAGCCAATAAGGTAGTAACACTACAGTGTAAACGAAAACATTACATTAAGTGACCAAGACCTTGAGATATGCATCTGGTCCTGTTTAACATGTACTGTGTAACCTCTCTCTCTCTCTTTCTAAGAACTGGTTCCACCGCCACTGTTGCAACTGGTTACGTAATTTCACAATGTTAAGGTCACCTAAAACTGTCCGGTCATTCAACTTCCGATCAGAATTTACAAACATGATTTTATTGTAACCTAAAAAGGTTTATAAACCTTTTACCATAACATAAACAATAGAAATGCCTTGCTAACCCATTATTTATTCCAGAACAAGTTCTGGTCTCGGTTATACACACCATATTGTGGTTGAAATGGTTGAACATTTGGCTGAAGGAAATTCATTCAAGCTTGGAACAGCTGATTGCAATTCCATTACTTAATACAATAAGGGGTTTACCTGCAACATCCCCATTACAGCTATCCTACAAGGGGAGAGTCTGCACAAATAAAAACATATTATACTTATGAATATTTTGTTTAAACTAAAACCCCATGCTCATTTATATACCCTTGGACTTAAAATTAAGTTTTGTTTTTTCATCAGCCCCCCCCCTCTTTCCTTGGGGGGGGGGGGACATTTTAGAAAAATTGTAAAGAATTACAGGAAAAGCTCTCAAGTTTAAATCGTTTTTCATATATGAATAATTCAAAATGTTTCTGATTATTAACAGTATTATCCATGATTTGGAGTATGGTTTTACAAAAAATCCATTTTTAGTATCATACAAATCAAAAGACCATACTCTATAACATAGAAAATTTAATGCTGATTAAAACAAACAAAAAATTTTGGAAAATCTCTTCAAAAACTTAAAATACAATTTTCCTTGTATTGGAAGAACACACTTTCGGAAAACGCGAAAAAAATTAATGATCAGCGGTGTGCATGCCTAGCATGAAGCGGGGTGCCTTTGTAAGATAAACTTTAAGCGAGTATTGGGGGGCAAAAAAATGTTTACTGCATGTTTTATATATAGTTTTGTTTATAAATTAATAAAGTAAAAAAATGTTAAGTCAAAAAATATATATTTTTGCTATTTTAAGCGCAGACTCCCCCCCCCCTTAACTGATCTTTGCAATTGAAGTAATTTCAAAGCATATGATCTAGCGCACCTACGAATTCGGGCTTAGCCTCCCTCACGTTTAATTCGTTGCAGAGTCTATTTTCAAGGATTCCGTTATGCTGACCAATTTTCTTTATAACAGTTTAAACGTGAACTGCAAGACTTACTCTTGAGCTCAGCGATGTCCGGGGTGCAGCCTGATTCGTCCATCAAACAACTGAACGCCTTCTTCAGCAGTCGCTCGTTGTTGAGGATGTCGTCCAGGTCGACATTGTCATACTTGGTAGTGTATTTCTCCTCAGGGTAGGCGACGGCGACCGCCAGGACAGCGGCGAGAAAAAGGACGAAACGCATCTGGAGAAAACGTTCTTGGGTTAGAAATGTTTATTTTGTATACTATCTTTATGTTCTAGGACACTAGGCTGAACTATTGTACACATTTCTAGAGGTCTAGAGGGTTGGGACATTTATATTGTTACATAGCAATTGGGGAATGGTGGGATTTAAACCAGGGACTTTGGGAACCTAAAAAACACGCTCTACAATTCTTTTTTCACACCCTTACATCCCAGCAGCACACATTACACATTACACATTTTGAGGGTAGACTCTGAGGGTCGTGGAATTATCAAGCAGAAGCCTTTTGGTATTAGTGTGATTTGAACCCGGCATCTCGGGAACCAAACCACACTCAAGTAAAATAATCTCATACACTCACATTCCAGGAAGATAGTGTTAAAGAACAGTTTTACAACTTGAAGTTAGCCTTGAGTGTCTTGGCATTTTCTGACAGCAAAGTTGGTTGAACAGATTTGAACCCGTGATGTTGGGAAACGAAGGTTTGCGCTCTAAAACCACTATACGAGTTGGTACAAAAGTATACGCCTTTATTTGTTGCCTTTGTGCTTGTGGCAACACAACAATTGACACCTCTCAAATTCCTCGCTCTCCCAATAAACTCTCCTAATTTCTTTGACCACTACGATCTAAAATAACGCACTGAGTAATTAATCTTATAATTTCCACAGCCCAATATAACCAGCTCTTTAATTATTAAACTCTGTTTTGTTTGCGAGGTAAATCAGAAGCAACAGTATTTTGTAAGAAATTCGCGAGTGCAAAATAAATAAACATTATCTGATACATTAGACCCAGTTTACTCCATAGTGTACCGTTGTTTCAAAATGAAACGGTTATGTCAACTGAATATCAAGTCTCAAATTTCATTGGTCAATGTAGTACCATTAACTATTGAAACATGAATAGTCAAAGGTAGTACATTAGTGTACATATGTAGTCTATTATAATATTATAACATAAATTTGATTTCCCCTCTTTCAAAGCATGAAACTTAAACGAAACAAATATTTTAGATACCATTGTGGATTAGTAAAAAAACTCATCTTTCCCCTTTTTGGAGTATTGTGATTATTTACCCATACATGGGTTTGTGTACTAACCCTCTTATGCTATATTAGTTACATTATAACCTAGACCTCTTGACTTCCGCTCTTTCATACGGGATCAAAATTGTCTAAAAGGTTTTACAAATCGTGATGAAAAGTACGCACAGTAGTCACATAAATATCACCAACACGCAACTACCAAAAACGAACTTCAAACAAAAAACCTGACATAAGCTCTCACTGGCATTACTAGGTATCAAATAAAACATTCTACACAGCTAGAAAGAAAAATGAACCAAAATATTCACACCTACCTTGGCAACAGAGAACTCTTGCACTGCCCAGACAGCTGTTCGTCCTGGTCTTATACCCCCCCAGCAACGTCATAAAGCCGCTTTGCAATTACAAATCCATTGCCACCTCCTGATGATTGGGCGGACATTTTGTTTTATTCATCAGCTGTCAAATCATCACCGATTGCGTGGGTCAGGTCGTCAGGTGTTAAGGGGATTCAAGTTCTAGTTAGACCGGTTGCTTCTGGGAATTTTTCAGACGTCAGATTTGGACGTCATTGCAACGGATTTGGACTTGTGGCATTAATTTATTTCATTTCTTTAATTAACGGATCCATTTTTACATGAAAATACGGAGTGTCTTTGTGACAAATAACTTATCAAACTGGAGACAATATTCAAGACATAATAAGTTGACCTCAAAATAATGATAACTATAAATAACTATCAGAACAAGGTAAACAATAGATAGTAAAAAACAAAAATAGTTATACTCATCCTTCACTCATATTTGAGTTAAAATACGCACCTAGGTGGTGTGTCCATTTTAATTAATTGATAATTGATTATTGATAACAACTTTTGAGATTATTTTCATTTGTAAAATTCGAATGATTTTAAATTAAAGTGAGTTTGAAATACATAGTTAACGAATCCATGAAAAGTATAGGACCAGCTGACTAAGAAACAGCTGTTTTTGGCAACAATGCTTCACAAAGCTACTGTATCAAGTTTTAAATTAAGAATATTAATAACACTTGTTCAGTATTCTTTAGCAGGCCAGCTGATCATTTGTGTGGGAGAGAGAGGATATTACAAGATCCCCACATGGCCATAACAATACAATTATACAAATTTATAAATTGTAAACATTCCCTTTTTTAAAAACTGTGCTTTTACCTTATTCGTATTGTTTTTGTGTAACAATTTAATTCTTTTCTCCTCTTATTTTTGTTTCATTCAATTAACTCTTTCTTTTGTTCTTGTCTAACCTACATTTAAAATATATCACGGATTTTGAAGTCACAAAGTGACGCAGGCTGCTAGTATTCAGTCATCCCAAGTAAGTATTTTGACTTTCACCATTCTCAACAAAAATACTAATTAGTAATTACTGAAAACCTCTTCATGATCAACACAAAAATTATCCCTCTTTTTGGAATCAGAAGAAACAAACCTTACTCAAATTCTAACAGGATTTCGTGCAGATACACATCCTAATGCATTTAGTTATTAATGATGCAACCGGGCAAGGTCGAATGTAGGTGAATTAATTAATAACATGTTATAAAGACTGAGCCATTTGGTGTGAGCGTAACATAATCCATGACTCACTCTACCATACCATTACCATTAGCCAGTGCCATTATACCATTAGGCATTGTATTCGGCTAATGCCTTTACCAAGGTGGGCTTTGAAGGTCGTGGCTCACGTAGATGTAAAACTTTGGCCATTGATGTGGGGAACTTTATTTTGTTCAGGAAACTTTAAAGGTATACCAACGTAATAAGCATCAATACGATGACAATAGTTATCAGTGTAGCCAGTGCAGCAAAGGCACTTTGCGCTCACGTTACACATTATATTTTCCCTACAGTTACTATAAAGCATAGAATTAAGTCTTTCAAACACTATACAACACGTTTTAGGTAAGGTTAATCCAAGCGTTGAACGAAAATTTGTTAATGAAAAATCAGAGAAAATAGGCCTAGGCTACCCAATTCATATCAAGAAAAAGATAGCAGAAAAGAGACGACTCAGAAGAATTTGGCAAAACTCAAGAAACCCAAATGATAAGGCCAACTTTAACCGAGCAGCACGGAATTTGAAAAGATTATTGTACGACACAAAAAACCGATGGTTTGAAGAATATACTCAATCTTTGTCGGCTACGGAAGCTACGGATTACTCGTTATGGAAAGTAACAAAAAGGCTGAAGCAACCCCAAATTTCAATCCCGCCAATTCGTAAACCGGATGGAAGCTGGGCTAAGAGTGACATAGAAAAATCTGAAGCTTTCGGGGATTACTTTTCCAATGTATTCAAGCCAAATGTAGGTGTGGTCAATAATGAAAAAGAAATAATCGAATTTTTGGACTCTCCACTTCAACTTGACTTTCCTCTAGAAAAATTCAGACCTACAGAAATTAAGGCAACCATTGACAAATCGCTAAATCCGAAAAAAATCTCCTGGTTACGATTCTATCACTGGGAAAATGTTAAAAGAACTGCCAAGGAAAGGAATGATTTTTATTGCATTTCTCTTTAATTCTATATTGAGACTAGACCACATACCAACTCAATTTAAGAAAGCCCAATTAATTGTTATACCAAAACCAGGAAAACCTCCTCATGAAATCACTTCCTACAGACCTATAAGTCTCTTGCCTATAGTGTCCAAGTTGTTTGAGAAATTGTTCCTCAAAAGACTACAAGCTCTTTTTGAAGAAGACGACGTCATTCCAGGACACCAATTCGGGTTTAGACGGAGACATGGCACCGTGGAGCAGGTCCATAGGGTTGTTCATACAATTCGAAACTGTTTGGAAAACAAACAATTTTGTTCTGCTGCTTTCCTTGATGTCAGTCAGGCATTTGACAAAGTATGGCACTCTGGCTTACTATTCAAAATTAAGAAGTTACTACCCCATTCAGTTTTTCCTATTTTAAAATCATATCTTACCAACAGAACTTTCCAAATTAAACATCAAAATTACTTAACTGACCTTTACCCTATAGAATCAGGAATCCCCCAAGGAAGCGTGCTTGGACCATACTTGTATATTCTCTATACATCGGACCTACCAGAAAGTGTAAACACTATGGTTGCTACATTTGCGGATGACACGGCGATTTTATCTGTCCACGACAATCCAGCTCAAGCTACAGCAAATTTACAGCTAAACTTGGATGAAATTTCTCATTGGTTTAAAACATGGAGGTTCAAAATTAATGAAAATAAATCAGCACACATTACTTTTACCTTAAATCAGGCTACATGTCCTACAGTATCCATGAACAATATTCACCTCCCTCAAGTAACGGAAATAAAATACTTGGGCATGCACTTAGATGCAAAGCTTAATTGGAAGGCACGTATCTGGACTAAAAGACAACATCTAAATTTAAAAACAACTAAACTTAATTGGCTTCTTGGATCTAAATCAAAACTCAGTACACAAAATAAATTGTTACTGTACAAAACAGTTTTAAAACCAATTTGGACTTATGGTATTCAGCTTTGGGGATCAGAAAGTACCTCAAACATTGAAATTATTCAACGTTACCAATCAAAATTATTACGTAAAATTTTCAACGCTCCTTGGATTTGTTACCAACAGAACACTTCACAATGATCTTCAAATTCGAACAATAAAAGAATAAATTACAAAATATAGTGAAAAATACATTATAAAATTGGAAAATCATTCAAATCATCTTGCACTTAATTTATTGGACAATCACAACACCATTTACAGACTGAAGCGACATACGATATTGGACCTACCATTCAGATTCGGCTAAGTGTTATCAAAATTCTCTTTGTTTGCTAGTGTTGACGGTGGTCAATCACTAGCTCATGTTCTTCAAGTTATTTTTGTATTACTATTTATATAATTTGCTTATTGTTCAACTTGAACAGATTGTAAATTA